TTTCCGATTGGGGTGGTATGAGTGAAGTTAAACCCACGTCCCCTTACATAAAAGTCCTTACTCTCTTCTGAGCACTCGATACCAGAATGAGGCAGTATTAGATATTGGAATTAGCGTTTTCTGTCCGAGGGGATTTAGTGGTTTCAAAAGAGAGTAAGATTGTTCGCAGTTAGAACAGGCTTAGACCAACAATATCCCATTAACATAGCACATGAGGTACAGCCCGTGCGAAACCCCGGCACTACTCAGATAACAGTAAAACACACAGAAATGGGGGCGGAAACAAAAAGAGCATTGTTCCTGCTGCGGGACAGGTCTGGCGTTCCACACAGGACCTGCTGTTGATAGAAAGCTGCCGGAAGCTTTCTGAGGTTCATTCAAGGCCCCCTGCCAGAGCTGGTGATGTAAAAGGTAGAGTTGTAACAAAACTTCTCATTCTTTTGGGTTGTAATGTGTGGTATTAACATGGAATATCTTTAGAGGCCTGGCAGCCCTTTTCTTCAAGATGTGGGTTTAAGGAGTCGTTTGGTTTTACTTTTGCCAGTGCAATTCTCTTGACATCTTAAATTGAACAACAAATATGGAAACTTGAGGGCAGCAGGAGGAAGAGGTCGATGATAAACATCTCAAAAATGGCTTCCCAATAGTACTACGGTTATCGTTTGGGGCTCTGCCTTCTCCTCTTCTCTCTAACCATTTCTTTCGAGAGCAGACCATAAAGACCAAAAAGCTTTAGTCTGGGATGACAGTCGATTGGCTATGTGGGTGGCCTTCGGATTTGACACAGTGTGAGTCTGGAGACCTTGACTTGGAGGGTGTTGCCCCCGCCCCCCGTGATGAAACGGATGAGGGCTGGTGTGAGGGGCCTCAGTGGGAACCTCACTGTGTCTCTTAATGGCCGTGTGACCTTCAGCAAGTCACTCAACCTCCCCAAAGCTGTGGCAAAATGTTGAGAGATGAAAAGTAAAGACTGTGCATTCTGAGTACTAGACTTCTTTTTTTTTTTTTTAAACACTGTCCATTTGGCTTGCTCTTATATCAAAATACCACAGACTGGGTGGCTTGTAAACAACAGAATTATATTTTCCATAGTTCTGGAGGCTGTAAGCCCAAGATCAGGGTGCCCGCATGGCCACGTTCCATGTATCGTCAGAGCCCGCTTTTAAGTTCAAACATGACCACCTTCCTGCTGTAAGCCCAAGATCAGGGTGCCCGCATGGCCACGTTCCATGTAGCGTCAGAGCCCGCTTTTAAGTTCAAACATGACCACCTTCCTGCTGTAAGCCCAAGATCAGGGTGCCCGCATGGCCACGTTCCATGTATCGTCAGAGCCTGCTTCCCAGTTCAAACATGGCCACCTTCCTGCTGAGTCCTCATGTGGTGAAAGGGCCAGGGAGCTCTCTGGGTCTCTTGTGGAGACACTGACCCCATTCACGAGAACGTTTCCCTCAGGACCTGATTGCCTCCCAGAGGCCCCACCCCCTAACACTGGCACACTGGGGGTTAGGGCTCCAGCATGGAATTTCGGTGGGGCGGGATAAACACTCAGATCATAGCACACTTCGTAATAACTTAGGTCCTTCCAGTACCGCCTTCTGTTGGGCAGTTATCAATTTCCAATCATTTTATTTGAGATGTATAAGCACTGTCTTGGACTCTTAATTAAAATTTTAAAAAATTATGATTTTCTTAGGAAATGGAATATATTGATATTTTAGAAAATACCAAATCATTGAGCACACCCTCTGAATTTGGCCCAAGTTCTAGAGGGAATTTGACAAAAAGGGAGAAAACTCCCAAATGAATTTTGCAGATATGAAGGAAGAGGTTTTCTGGCCTTTCAAGTTTTTGTTAAATGAAAATCCATCACGTTTGAAAAATGGAAGTGGCTTGAATTCTGTAAAACATTGCTTGCCTGTGTGGACCCTACCTTGGCTGCTCTGAGGAAGGGTCCACCTGTGGTATCAGGGGGCCTCCAATGCAGACTTGAGAATTAGGAGGTGGGGGTTTGAGTCCCGGCTCTGCCACAGTTTCCCTTGTTATCTTGGGCCACGTAGTTAATCTCTCTGAGTCTCAATTTTTTTTTTTTCATGAAAGGAAATCTCAGAAGATTATGCTTATCTTGTAAAGCCATTGAGGGGATTAAAGGGGGTGACAAATGTAAAGCTCACAGCAACACCCTGTCACCTAGTAGGTCCTTGAGACGTTGAACTATTTTAATATGCTATTTATATAATTATATAATGTAATCAAATAATGTCTGCTACATAAAATGTTTATATCAGGTTATATTTATATAATATATAATGATATTTTATACAATGACAGGTTCTACAGTAATATGTAACTATTTTTACGTGATAGTATTGCAGAGATTCCTAGAACATTGAGATCACGTTCTCTAATAGCTTTCACACTGTTTAAACAGTGGTGTCTCTTTCCCTTCCCTGCAGACATCATCTTCTATAGAAGCAGAATAGCTGAGACTGCAAAGCAGGGGAGGTGCTTGCTGAAGCAGGGCTGATGGCTCCCCTTTTAGCTACTCCTGCTCACCATGTGGGGACACCCTCGGAACTGAGTGAAAACAGCTGCCCTAGGCCAGGCTTCATTCTTCTTCAAGGTCTCAGAGCGCTCGGGTAGAGCTAAGGCTGGAGCTCACGTCTGTGGCCGTGAAGTTGAACTTATCCTAGGCGCTGTGTGGTGTCTGCCGATGGGATGGATTACAGGGCGCTGATCCCTTTGCCTGATGGGAATCACAGCCTGTTTTCCTCCATGTGGCAGACGTTCCCAGCATAGAAGCTGGTGCCTTGAGAGACTGCTGGCTCCATCCCTGGTGTCCTGGGGGCCACCCTTAGGCTTTATAGCTGCTAAAAGCAAAAAGGAAATCACAACACTTAAGTACAGAGCTGGGGCTGACATGGCCGGCGTCCCTCAGTGCAGCCCGAGCGGTGGCTGTGTGTCTATGACTATTGGACTAGGACGGATTTTCGAGCAATGGAAACAACTTTGTTTAAGGCAGTTGAGTTTCATTTCTTCATACAGGCGTCAGTGGCAGGTGGTGAGCCATTGGCTGTATTTTTCATTCTGGAGCAGCCAGTAGACCTGGTTCCCAGGAGCTGTGGTCATTGCCTGCTACAGACGAATGGGACTTTTCTGGCCTTAGGTTTTTTTTCTTCCCGGTCTGGAAATGCTGTAATCCTTTTCTACAGACTTCATCAGCCTATGTGGGTTGTGGTTTGTGACATAAATGAGATGTATTGGGAAGCCTTTGATCAGAAGATGAATACAAGAAGACATTATTATGTAAATGAGTCTAGATGTTTTTCTGCAAGAAAAGTCAGGCCACTTCCTTGGCAGATGTGAGATGGATGGCCTTTTATTTCTGTCGTGCGTTAGAGACTCCTGATTCTCCATAGAAAAGCTGTAGTGGAAGAACACATGGCCAGGCCATGTTGGGATTTAGGGGTGTCCCCATTTAATGTGTGGGGTCCCATGGTGCGCCTGCATCCGCTCTCTATGGAAGAGGACTTGGGACCAGTTTTCATAAATGTTTGATTTGTGACTGATGGCAGTCACAGCAGTGCCGCCGAGCCCCAGAGCCCATTTCCAGAGGGAGGTGATGGTTTCCTGCTTGTTCCGTTTGTCCTTCTCTCATTCCAAGGGCGCTGACAGCTCAGATCAGCTCTGGTGCTAAGTTCTGCTGTGAGTTGTGACGCGTCTGGCCAGGAATTTGTTAATGATAATAAGGTACCAGAGTTGGTGAATTATTCACCTTCACTCCCATGAGTAAGTAGATCGAGCATCGTCCTGATAATAGTGACAATCACCGCAAACATCACACGCCAGGCCTCTGCCAGGTCAGCCCTTTCCTTACACCTTCTCATTAAATGGGAGAAACAGTGTTAGTATCTGCATGTGACATGAGGAAACTGAGGTTTAAAGAGGTGACGTGACCTGCCCAGGTCCCCCTGTAGAGCTGGAGTGTCACCTGTACTCACCAGCGTGCCAGGGTTCTTTTGTGAGTGGAAAATGAGGGCGTTTGGGCTGGCCATTAAGATCTAGATTTTCAGTTAACACGGAGGCAACAACTTAGAACCAGAAGCGCTGTGATGGTGCAGGTGGAACCTGCCATGGACGCTAATGACTTTCCAGAGGAATGCACTCCATTTCTGGAGCAAAGGGTTCCAGCTTCTTTAGCCCCAAGGGCTTCTAAGAATCAAGACTTAGGTATGGAAGACATGACAAAGGACATGCTGCAGGACACTGCGTGCTCTTGGACGGTCAGAGCCAAGCCTTGCCTTGGTCACTGCTCTGCTTCTGCTAATCAGAACCAGGCCCCGTGCACACAGGGGTTGGTGGGAAGGGAGTAAGGAAAGGTGAGAAGGAAGGGAGGGAGAGAGGAAGAGAGGAAAGGAGGGAGGGAGGGAGGGAGGGTGAAAGGGAAGGGAGTTTGAATGCCTGGAAGGAAGGAAGGATGAAGGGATGTTTGGTTTGAAGAAAAGAATTTGAGGAGGTGAGTAGTAGAGAGAGAAGGATAAATTAGAACCAGCATGACAAAAAAGAAAGAGATGCATAGAGGACACGTAAGAGTTTTCAACTTTTGTATAAGGCATCCTTGATGAAATTTCACTACTTCTTGCTATTTCCCATATATCCTCCTTGCACACAGAACTCAGTTGTATGTTTGTTTAGTGGGTGGTTCGCTGGGGATGAGTGAATAAGACCTGGTCTTCCTCTCAGAGAGGGGAGTTTAAAATCTCAGGCAGTTTCTCAGACTGGCGACCTCATAGCCTCCCAACTGTACATCACCCTCAAATGATGGCACAAGCCTCGTGCCTGTGTTCACTGCAACAAAGGGGCTCTATGCCATCTCCATCCTCCTTTGCCAAAGCCTTGTTTTCACTGTTTCCTACCTTTCTACGGAGCTTTCGAGGTTTTTGTCATGTTTTAATGGATGTGATAATCTCACACGAATGACAATAGTTTTCTCTTTTAACCAGGATTGATCGTAAGATGTCAAATGCTCACACCAGCTACAAACTGGATGAGGCGCAGGCTATAATGAGCGAGCTCCGGACCATCAAGAAAGCCATTTGTACGGGCGAGAAGGAGAGGCGGGACCTGATGCAGGTAAGAGGCCAGTCTGCCGCTTGCCTCTCTTTCCTCCATTTAGAATTTAAAACATATTCTATGTTTATTATATGCACAATTCATATATGTTCTAAGATATACATGTGTATATATTATGTGTGCATATATCTTTTATGTATGTGTATACATATATATGTAAAAATAATTAATGCATTCCCTAGGGCTGCCATGACACAGTACCCCAAACCAGGTGGCTTAGGACCAAAGAGATTGATTTTCTCAGAATCTAGAAGCCGGAAATTTGAAATCAGGGTATCAGCAGGGCTGTGCTCTCTCTGAAGGCTCTAGGGGAGGCTCCATCCTGCCTCTTTCAGCTTCTGGTGGCCGCTAGCACTCCTTGGCTTATAGATGCATCATTCCAATCTCTGCCTCCATTGTCACATGGTGTTCTCCCTCTGTCTCTGTGTCTAAGTGTTCGCTCCTTATGAGAACACCAGTCATTGGATTAGACCCCGCTCTAATCCAGTATAACCCCATCTTAACTTGATTCCATTTGCAAACACTCTATTTCCAACAAGCTCAAATTCATAGGTCCCTATTGAACACATTTCTTGGAGGACACAGTTCAAGCCACAACAATGGGTGATACATTCAGTGTTCAATAATCAAAATAATTCAAAAAGTCAACAATAGGAAGTGTTGCTATCTCCCCCTTCTCACACTGCCCGTGCTTCTGCGCATGCTCAGCTGCCCTCACAGAGAGCGAGGACTGTGCCTGCTGGTCGTCACCGGCTCCCTCACACAGCGATCGGACCTTGCACCTTGTCCCTTATCTGTGCACAGAGCCCCTTCATCCTTGATACGGTCGCATAGCATTCTACCATGTGCATAGATGTAATTATATGGCTGGGATCACTGTAGCTTTATGTTGCTTTTCTTTTTTGCACCTTTAGTTTTTGTAATTTCTCTTATATGTTAGAAAAAGCTGACTTTTTGCAAATGGATGCACGCTGGTCTTTTCACTCCACTCTGGCATGCATTTAGTTGTTTCTGTTATGACTTTTATTTTTTGCTCAACACACTAAGTGAGCACCTAGCACCTGGTAGGCATTTGTCTTGATTCTACCAAAGGACATGGGAAGCAAAGCTCAAACTCATTGGCCAAACGAGACAGGTACATATGTAACTGCCTTGCAGGGCATTCCTTCCTAAGGTCAAAGACGGGCGAGACTTGCAGAGTGTCCCCAGGGTGCTCATTAAATTGCAGGTAACCGAGCCCTACCCCAGGCCTACAGGATTGACTCTCTGGCCGAGGGGCCCAGAAATCTGTACTTTCAGGCACTCTGTCTTGGTCCTGAGAGGTAAATGGTCAATTGTCAGCTTTTCTCCAAGCACTGGTAGCAAGGAGAACATCTGTCATTCACTGAGGCATCGTGTGTGCATTGCACAGGTGTTCTGTGGCTGTGATCCATTTAGTTCAAGCCCAAACCCCAGGCCTGAGCCAGGTGGCGTTGCACCGTGGGGGCACCACTGGGACACAGAGGCCTCGCCCCAGGTGGTCGAGCTGGCGCCCCTGCCCTGACCTTTCTGAGTATGCAGAACTGGGGCAAAGCCACCCACTTGGCCTGAGTTGGGTTCCCCACTGTGGAGGCTGCAGGTAGAATTTCTTGAAGAAGCTTCAGATCTCAGCATCTTCTCTGAGAAGCTCCAGGGAGAGGCACGGGCAACGTCATGTAGTAAAGTCAGTTAAGCTGTTTTGTCTGTCTTATAGGAGCTGTACAGCATCGGCCCGCCGCAGGACGCCTTTGTCTAGATTCAGAGCAGCTGCGTGTGCCAGACTGTACGTGGGCACCCTGCTGTCTGCAGAAATAGTCTTTTTAAAAAATTATGGAAAATTGATTTCTCTTTAACCTTCACTCAGAGGGGTTCTCCATGTCAGCATACATGCTTCCTCTGATTTTTGGCGAACTAACATACATATGACATGACTTTTGACTATGTAGAATTGTGATTGAAAAATCAGGTTATAAAAATGTGTAAATGTCGTCTGGGAGCTGTTTTCACCTTTTGTGTGGTTTATAAAGATGTCAGGGTAGCATTCATCTCAGACTCATTTCTTGATCGAACATTTGGGATGGGAATTCCCTTCCTCCCACTTTATTGAGGTGTAGTTCACAAACAAAATCGTATACATTTAAGGTATACAATGTGATGATTTGATAGACATATATTGTGAAATGCTTACCACAATAAAATTAGTTAGCACCTCCATGACCTCACGTAGTTACCTTTGGGGTGTGTGTGGTGAGGACCTCTAAGACCTGCTCTGTACGCAAGTTTCAAATACACAATGCAGTGTTGTTAACTGTCGTCACCATGCTGTGCATTCCCTCCCCAGGACTTAATCATCAAACTGGAAGTTTGTCCCCTGTGGCTGACATCTCCGTTTCCCGCTCCCCCCAGCCCCTGGCAGTGGCAACCACCCTTCTCCTCTCTGGTTCAATGAGTTTGGGGTTTTTTGGAGGGAATGGGTTGGTTTGTTTGTTTTGTTTTTTTAAGAAGACACAAAGTTTTGAAAAACAGTAAGAATGGTACCACAGTTGTCCTCTGTGTTATTCACATGCTGCCAGGAGGACTCAATCGCTATCTGATTTAAATCACTGAACATTTTATCGAAGGCGCATGGAGTGCTGGACATTTCTTTTAAATCTAATGGGAATGGGGTTGGGGTGGCCAGCCCCCCAGTGATGAAGCGGCCGGCCTGCAGCCCGAGCGCAAGGACCGCTTCTGGAAAGAGAGACGCATTACCATCTCTGTTCACCTAGCTCGTTCGCTCTGTTGCAGAGCCTGGCCAAGCTCACCGACGGGTTCAGGAATAACTTTTCTCTGACCGACCCGCTGCAAGAGATCCCTCACCATCAGGGCACGCTTGGCGAGTCTCACCAGTTCTGCGACGCGGGGTCTCAGACCGACATCATCGGAGAGGTACGCTCACCGGGGAAGAACTGAGTGGGTCGAGAGAGAGAAGGGCTGCTTTGGGGTTGCCATAACTCATTTGCTTTAATTTTCTACTTTCTCTTCAGAAATGTTTTGGCTTTTATGCCATTAAGTTTGAGGAAAAAATTTTGTTTCTCACATCCAGCTGTGAAGGGTCAGTGGCCTGGGACGCAATTGAATTGCTTATTACCTCTAACTTTGTGATTTGGATTTTTAAAAATGGCAGAATCCTTTTGAGAATTGAGCTTAGATGGTTTCTTTTGATAGACATGTAACTTTTTAGAGTATGGATTGGCTACCTTTTCCTGGAAAGGTCCAGATGGTAAATATTTTAGGCCGTGCAGACCGTGCCATCTCTGCCACACCTACTCAACTGTGTTGTAATGCAAAAGCAGCCATTGGGATATGTGAATTATGGGCGGGACTGTGTTCCAATAAAACTTTATTTACAAAAACAGGTGGTGGGCCAGATTGAGCCTTCCAGCCTTAGTTGGCTGATCTCTGGCCTAGACCAGCGATTTTCAGAGGCTTTATGGCTGTATCACCCTTGGCTTATACTTGGTGCTATTTCTTAGTCTTCTAAAACAGTGCCAGGAAGTTGAATTGAATTAAAATTAATTTCGTTTGGGACCTGAAAGGATTTCCAAACTCCCCTTTCTGAGAATTAGGGAAACCTTGAGTTAGCCACAAAAATAAAGTTGGCAGTCGTCATTTGAAGGAGGGTGGTGAATACTTGAAGACTCTACTATGGTAATGTCATTGACTGACATTTATCATTTATTTGTTACAAATGGAAAAACAGTTTGGGTGGCATCTTTTCCTTTGGGCTTATTAAGTAAAGGTGAAATATCAGTGGAATGCAGAATGTCCTGCCTCAAATTAAATTTTTTTTTTTCAAAAAGGGAAGAACCATTGACAAAAACCTCTGGGTTTTAAATAATTAGCTAATATTTTGAAATTTTGGCAGATAGTGCCTCTTTGAGGGGAATACAATACTAGTAAATAATGACTTCTTATATCTTGGATGCTCTGGACTAGCCCTATTTTCAGTTTTCACCTCATTGTTCTTTAAAGTAGGATCAGGCATTTGTGACCAGGCATCTTTGGTTTAAAGAATATGGTGACCATTAGAAGAATCTGTAAGTCAAAAATGTCTGGCATTTTTTGCCTAGAGATGTTGGCAGGAGGGAAGGAAAGAAGTACAGTTCTCAGTGAATTACGTGACTCAGTCATTGCTGCTTATCATGCAGTTAGAATTAGAATTTAGAGACTCTTAACCGGTTTGAGGAAAACAGGATAGGTCGAAGGTTCTCTCCTGGTTTTCTGAAAATGTCATGCGAGAGTGGCCAGTTATGCTGCTGTGCTGTGTCCAGTGGTGAATTGTCACTGCTGATGAGTGTATTGGGGCTGGCCTGGATTGGCAGCCTCAGGGCTTTTATCTCCATTTAAGTAGTTTCCATTCCCTTGTGACAGATGAGGGGATCGAGGTTCCAGATTACCTAAGGTCATGTAGTCTGGGAGAGGCAGGTGTGAGTTTGAGTCAACATTTCTGATCCCTAAACCCCTGTGCTTTCTACTGCATCCCATTGTTATAGAAAAATACAGTTGACCCTTGAACAGCGTGGGTTTGAACTGCGTGGGTGCATGTGTACAGTGTGTATGAATAAATTCGTCACTAGTCATGCAAGTGGAATATTTTCAAATATTTGTTGACATGAGGTTATTTTAAAAAAAGATTAGCAGCCATAATATATGGTCAAGTAAGGTCAGATCTATAGATAGAGGCGATTTATTGAAACCAGAGCCTCGTATTTCCAGGAATGAAGGAAAACCAAGGTGAGCTACTTTTCCTCCCACACAGGTCTTTTTTCCTTTTGTTTAGGGATTTGTTGACTTCAGTGTAATTAGTTTGAAAATATTTAAGTACAACTAGTGGTCATAGCAGAGCATAGCATTTCAAGTCTAATTCCTAAGGTGATGTGCCCCAATCTTGGGCTTTCTTTCCTCCTCTTTTGGCTCTTTAACAGGCCATGGAACGTTTGGAGGAGTCCTCTAGCCTGTACCTCACACAGCTAGTCTGTCATCTTCAGATCTGGCGACTTCTTAGAACATTGTTTTGTATTTGTTAAGGAATGAGACTATAGTGCACAAAATGGGATGAATTGTTTTGCCTTTGTACCAACTTTTATCAAGTAATTCCACATTTCTTTAAAAACTTATTTTATTGTTTGGAATTATACAATAAATGAATATACTTTCACTGTTAAAAAAAATCCACTGGTGTTGGGAAAGCAAAAGTCTCCCCAGCCCCACCGATCGGAGGTGGCTGCTGAGTAGTATTTGGTGTGTTTCCTTCCAGACCTTTGAAAAGTGGAAACGGGAAGATGAATTCAAATATTCTTCATTGTTGCTAAAAGTTTAAACGAATTTCCTATTTTGAAAATATGTTTTTAATATGTTTTCCTTTCTACCCCCCCTTCTCTGTTTTGGAAAGTTTGTCTTCGACGATAAAACGAGGCTTGTAGACCGAGTCAGGCTTAATTGGCAGTATGAGGAAGCCAGAAAGAGGTAAGAAGCTCCTTTTCCAAATCTCACTTTCTGCTTACTTCCTTTCTCCTGTGCAAAGACTTCCCAGGATTCCACTGTGTGATTGTCTACTTTTTATCAGAAAGCAGTGTTTTATAGAATAAAAGATAAAGGATGTTCATTTATGTGTAGTTAGCGTCTTAAGGCATATGAGGGGAGGGCCCAAAAAACCAGAATTATCTTCTGGAGGGCGAGCCCCTTGTAGTACAGGCTTCCCTTGTTAGGTGAGTGTTCTAGAAACCCATCTGGGTCAGTATACCAGCTGGTGGTGGTGTGAGACTCTGCGTTTGGCTTCAGTGAATTGTTTTTGAAGACTCTTTGAATGTGTTTGCCCATTTCATGATGGGCGATTTACGAGTGCACCTGCCCACACTGTGCTGAGTGTCTAATAGTTTTTGACCAAAAAGGGCAGGACCCCCGTGCCCCACCCTCCCTATTCACCCATTTCCCCAAGTGATATTTGTTTCCCCGGATGAAAAAAGTCCTCAAAGGGAAACGTTTTGCCGCTGTGGAAGAGGTGAAACAAAAACGGCGGAAGGGCTAAAAGGCATCCAAATCAATGAGTTCGGAAACCGTTTTGAGCCGTGGAAAAAACATTTTGACAGGTGCACTGCATCAGGTGGAGCGCACTTTGAAGGTGACTGAAGTTTAAACATGGAAGAATAAATGCACAATTTTTTATAAACAAATTCTCGGTTTTTTTGGAGGTCCCCCCTCGTAGACAAAATTTCATGTGCATTTAAAATGGCAAAATTCTCAAAATTGCAAATAGTTATAATGATTTAATAAAAATAGGGACTTTTTTGGCTCTCCTTACCCTCTCAGGTAGTTTGGAACTCCCTGCCTCCCTGCCTGCCTTCCGTCCTGTGTTGCTCCCTCCCTTCACCCGCCCGCCCTCCTTCCCTTTCACCTGAGCCTCGGCCCCTCAGACGCCTTAAGCAAAACGGTTATGCGTCCTAAATATGTGGCTTCCAACTCCATAGGTTCATGGCAAAAGTCACGTATCTTGGTCTGAAAGACAATTTAATAAGGATTAGGTGAACAGATGGTAGCAGTACCTAATCTATTTCATTTTGATAGTGAGCATCAAAAGGTCATCATTTCGGTTAACCTGTGTTATAAATCATCTGCCTTCTGAAAATCGCAGACCTGACCTTGTGTGTGCATTTTCAAGTTTGTCTTTCTCTCTTCCCTCCCGGTCTTAACCACGGGGCAGGGGCAAAGCTGAGAGGTGGTATGCAGTCCTCCCCGGCGGGGGCCCTGCTTTCAGCAGTCTGACCCCGGCCCAGCTTTCCTGTCCTCTTTTTTAGAGACTCTGGTTTTTTGCATGCGGGAAAGAGTCTTAAAACCAAATGATTTGAAAATATGTACTTTGGAAAGCTATAAAGCATCTCTTTTTAAAGTTCCTTTTGTCTTAGAGGGTGGGGGAAAAGGAGCGGAGTGCCAAGTGGGGTGAGGGGGTCCTTTCTGGAAGCTCAGTAGTTGGGTCTGCTCAGTATACTGTATCATTCATGGATGTCTGGAAATCCACTTTGTTGCCTTTTTAGAAAATGTAAAAATAGCCACAAAAACCGATCATCTGACTCCCCGCTGGAGGGCAGGCTGGGACTGACATGGGCCTTTGTTTGCCCACGCCTCTGGCCTCTGCGCCGTCCTTCCCGTCTCTCCCCGAGGTATTCGTGGTGGGCTCCCCGTTTGCCCGCGGACCGCGGCCAAGCCCCTGCGGCCGCGCTGCGTGTCTCCAAGCTCAGATTCCCCATCTAGGCTCATTCCTTCCCTTGAGCTGCCTGGGGTTTGTCAGGCGATTGTCCCTTTGCAGTGTTCCTCTGCTCATTCTCACATGTTTCTTCTGGAACTGCACAATGTGGGCGCTGGAATTTGCTGTGTTGTATAAAACGCAGAAACTAGGTGGTTGCTACACTCGGGAACATAATTGTTACGTGTTTTGCTGTGACATTTACCAAACATAGCAAGTGATTTCTTTGTTTTCCAGAGATGGTATGTCGAGATAATACATTTGGGTAAACAGTTGAGTATTTGAGAAACTTATTCAGGGGAGGACATTGCACTTCCTCGTATCTGTTAAAGGAAAGAGGTATTTCAAGACTGCTGGAGCCTTGGCAGGAAAAACACTGCAGCCACAGAGGAGGGTCCTGTCCCCAGCGTTTCAGCCTCTGTGGGGCAGTAGGGGCTTCTCAGAAAGGCCTTTCTGGGCTGCACTGGCGACATCTACAAATCTGGGATGCGCCGTCCAGGCCTCCCGGGGTGGCTTGCACAAGCCCTGCCCACCTCCCCCCCGCCCCCCCGCAGTGGTTCCCAGCAGGGGTGGGGGCGAACCCTCCGGGGGACTTCTGGCCTCGGCTGGAGACAGTTTGGGTTGTTGCAGCTCTGGGGGAGGTGCATTTGGCGTGCGGTGGGTGGCGCCAGGGACGGTGCTCGCCATTCTGCAGTGCCCAGGGCGCCCCGCACAAGGAAGGACCTACCCCCAATGTCACCAGTGCCAAGGCTGAGGACCTCTGCTTTGTGCTGAAGGATTAGGACATCTTAGTGCGGCCATCGCTGCGTGATTTCCCAAGGGCCAGTTTGTGTGGGTCACCCCCGTAGCTTCACCCACACAGAGAAGCTGCCGGGGGCCTGGGACACTGTACTTCTGCTGAGTGCCTGCCCTGTTGCAGGTGTTTTGAAGAAATCAAGTGGTTTGTGTGGTGTTAATCACATGTGGTTTTCAACCTGTTTGGGACATAAAGTCCTTCACAGCAAACAGAAATATGTGAGAAGACCAGGGGTTCTGCCTGGGAGCGGGGCTACTTCTGGTAGTGTATGAGGACACACTCCAGGGTTTATATGTGTGCTCATACACACGTAACACATGCATGCTTACATATATGTGTATATCCACACACGTATTTCCTTTATTTTTATTACATGAATAATATATGCATACGCAGTTTTTGTCAAAGGCACTGTCGTAGAGACCATCCATCTTCCCCTGTCTAACCTCACCGCCCGTCTTTAATGGTTGAGTGTGAAACCTTCCAGTCCTTTCGGTGAATGTTTAACTAAATTCAGGCCAGTGTAGTTAAATATGATGCATAGCTTCTGCCGTGTGATAACCACCCCTCTATGGATGGACATGTAGATGGTTCCAGTTTTTCCTTTTCATAAACAGCACATCTGTTAACGGGCCCAGCCTTGCAGAAGTGACTGTTTCCTCAGACAGATACTTAGTAATGAATTGTCCGGGTCTAGAGACACATGCATAGAAAGTTTTGATAGATGTCACCAATCGCCTTCTGAAATTGCTTAAGCGCTTTACACTGCCACATAGGATGATCGAGAGTACTGGTTTTTACATCTCCTTAGCATCATTATATATCATCATTCTTTGTAAATTTTACTAGTGTAACGGGCGGAGACGTTCTCTCAGTTGTCGTATGCTTTTCCTGGTGACAGTGGTCCAGCTTTTTACTGGTAGTACAGCTCAACGTAGTTTTGTGTGACTTGGGCTGTTTAAATTGACACGTCTGATTTTTTCCCCCCCAGACACGTGATCCTTTCAAAGCATGTGAGATCCCATTATTGCTCTGTTCATAGTGGATGTGAACCATTGTTGGGGGTGATTTTTGGCCCCTCGGGGACATTTTTGGTTCTCCTGACTGCTGTCATCGAGTGGGAAGAGCCAGAGGGTGCTGCCAGACACCCACTATGCACAAGACGACTCCACAGCAAGGACTTAGGTGGCCCAGAGCATCAGTAGCACTGCAGTTGAGAAACCTTACTCTTGTCTTGCTCCTAAATGTCTGCTGTTTGTAGACAACATGGGCCTCCAGGAGCAGGTGGCCCGCTAACTCAGGGCGTTAGCCCACTCCCCTGTCCTGCTCATGCGCCTTGTTCCAGCCCCAGGGGCCCGCTTGGTGTTCCTTGGAGACATGCCAGGCCTCCAAGCTGCCAACCTGCTGACATAGTGCCTGGAGCCGGCGGATGGCGCCCCAAGATGCCCATGCCCTAATCCCCAGAACCTGTGAGTGTGTTGCTTTCCATGGCAGAAGGAGCTCTGCGGAGGGGATTAATTAATTCAGGATCCCCAGGGGGCAAGATGAGCCTGGATTCTGTACCTGGGCTCAGTGTCGTCCGAAATCATTCTGCCCCTCTGCAAAACCTGCTGGGCTTTGCCTCTTCTCCTGTCCTCACCCAAGGACATGCTTACTGATTTCAGAGACAGAGGGAAAGGGAGGGACAAAGAGGGAGAGAGACATCAATGTGAGAGAGACATAGATTGGCTGCCTCCCACACGCACCCCAACCAGGGACCGAACCCACACCCCAGGCTTGTGCTGTGACCGGGAATCGAACCGTTGACCCCTCGGTTTATGGGATGATGCTCCACCTGGCCAGGGCAGCTTTGCCATTTATAAACCAGGAGAAGTTTCTGCATTTAAGTACTTCAGAGAAGGAAGTCTTTCCTTGTATATCTAGATGTGAGATATTTTTCCACAGCTGGGAAATCATCAAAATGCAGTGTTGTGGACAATGAGAGGTTTCATAAGTATTTACATTTAAAGGATGTTTGTGGGAGTGGACCTCATAATTCCAAATGGTGGTGTGATTTCTAGAGAATTCTCCAGACCAAACCAGCACTCTCATGGCTAGTTTTGTGTTCTTAATTCCGGGTCATGTGAGATGTACCCAAACGACTGCTGCTTCCTTTCTCGTCAAGAACATCCCTTTGGATTCTCAAGGCAGGCTGTAGGATGGGAATATTGTTTAGGATACATTGGTTAAAAATTTAAAAATTTTTCAAGGCCAATTTGGAAGAGCAAGTCTTCTTGAAGCAATCCCGGTGACGCAGATAGCTCCTTATTTTTAACCTAAGAGCACTTGTTCCAGAACTGTGCACAAACTGTAGCTGTTTCCATAGAAACACTCGCTGTCCCGATAGGAACAAAACATTCGGCCCATCCAGTTTCTCTGTGTCTTAGTGTCTGTTGCCAGGATGGGTCCTGCTGTTCATCCGTTGTCAGGAATCAGGATAGTGTTAGGATTCCAGTGGAATTTGATCAGTTGCTTGGATTTTTTCTTCATTTCTCAAGTGACTGTGTATCTGGGTTTTGGGGGTGGGGCTTGGCTATGAGAAACAAAGAAAGGATCCTTGACGTTGTGGCTCCCTCTTCCCATTCAGGCCAAGAGAAAGAAGCCTGCAGATGGTCTGCTTTTCATTTAAGGAAGTCGCTCTCTGAAGATCTGTACATTCAAAGGGGAAAAGATGGGAGGGCAGGGAGGAATGTTGGGGTATTAGTAGACCTTTATGCCGCATAGTCTAGATTCAGACTTCTCGAATTTCCAGTGTAGAATAAAGAGTTGAGCCACAACGCTGGTTTATCAATATTTAGTTCAAGCCACTGAAGTGATTTCATCGTTCATCTTAGATCTCAGCTGAGATTTTCTTGAAGATTTGCTTTTTATTTAAATGAATATTTGCAAAGAGAAAACTAAGGAGAGAAACCTAGAATATCAAATCTGTAGCTGTAGTTGAAAGCTGAAGGCACGAGGCCCTAAGCTGACACCGCGTCCTGGAATGTGGCATTGGGATCCGTCACGGCTCATCACTGTCACGTGGGCCCGCAGCTTGCCTGGAGTGCCTCTTCTGTTCCAGAAAGCAGCAGTATTTTAGGAACATGTGAGATTATATAGTAGGCTGCAGAATTCGCTGTACATCAAATAATGGGGGATTACTCTGGCTATGTAAAAATGCCTCCAAACTGTGTACTATAGAAAGTGTATTTTTTTTCTTGGAACAATGCAAATCACATTTAAGATTTTCATGTGAATCGTGAAGGTCCAAGTAGTGTCTGCAGTATAAATGCAGCTTTCCATTCACAGTTTAATGGTGCCTGGATTGTAACAGAAAAGGTGTTTGAACAAAACTAGGGAAGGAAAAATGATTCTTATTTTAGTTCTGTCCACATTAGAACCGTTCAGGGAATAGAATTTGGAAATCACATAATAAATATGAAACCTGAATGCTTGACTGACGGTTTGCTTTCATTTCTTCGCTGCTGCGAGCACGGGGTCATAGATTTTAAAGCTTTTGAAGGCATTTGTGACAGATTATATATAGGCCATAAAATGCACTACCTATCGAAAATAAGAATCAATAAAAAATACAGTTGACTTGTAGGGAAAAAAGAACTCTTGCCAATTTTAAGTTGCTCTCAGTTCTCTTTAAAAATGAACTGGGAAAAGTTTCTTTTTTGTAAACTTGAATCATGACCTTGCTTTGCTTCCATGTATTTAATTTCACTGAAATGATATTTCAGAAAAGAGCCATTCTGGACAATTTTTTCCTTGTCTTACCCAGAATTGGAAGGCTGGCAGTTGCAGGAGTGTGGTTCCAACCCCGGGGTCAGCTGTTTGGTGTGGACGTAGAAGAAGGGGCGTTAGAACCGCGCAGCCGTGCTTTAGCCTTAGGCGGCGTGTCTGTTTCCTCCAGCAAACCTAACGCACTACGGCTGCTCCTCCAGGGTGGCTTGTCTCCAGGCCAGCGGCATGCTGGACAAGGCATATTGTTTAAAGGCAAAGCTGTCTTGTCTATCCCTTGGCGAATGTACAAGAAATAGTTGAGGGAATCCTTCTAGAGCTTTCGGCTTCCAGTGCAGACAGACACATGTGTCTCCCTCGACCTGGCTGAGAGCAGGCCGTGGGTGCGTGCCTCCAGAGTGTGGATATAGGGAAAGAAATAGCATCTTGCAATAGATGCCAGTATTCTTCCAGAGTCAAATGTGACTCTGGAATGGACATGCAGCCATTTACATCATTGGGAAATGGAATTATTTTTTAAGAAGCACTAGTCTTCAGCACAGAAATGCTTGCCTAGCGTTCAGCACAGCCCAAGCAACTTTTCCAGATGGGTTGCATGAAGTCAGCTTCTTCCAGATTTTCTTTCTGCTTCTGAGGTTGTCCCTCACCATACATCCTTGCATATTTTTCTTGCAAGCTATGGAAAGTTACAGTACAGTATTTAAGTTGGGCCATGGTACTACTACTTTGATGCCCGTAGTGGGCAGACCTTTTGAAATTTGCCCTTTGCCTCTCCTCCCTCATGCAATTCTTTTTCTCCCCATCCTTCTTTTTTCTGATAGTGGACGTTCCTTGAGATCTTCTGAGAAAGCGTAAGATTATCTAGGTTTGCATCTTCTGTCACCCTCAGCAACTCATATCCTTGTAGCGCGGCAGCTAACCTGGGGCCAACTCAAATGGAGTCTTGATCTCATTTGTAAACCTCAGAAATCTCAAAAGGAGTGCTTTTAAAATACGCCTGCTTGTAGCGTATGTATGAGAATTAGTATATATTACAAGGTAATACTGCTAACTTAAGCTGGGCTCAGATAGGCTTTCAGTGGATCCGCTAAATTGAAATGAAAAATTATGTGGACACAATGGATTTGCTCATTGTTCTTCGTCTCTTTCATATTTACTCCTTACCTTTGACTTGTCTTGATCTACAGTAGAATGTTCCAGAAATTTCATTGGGTATAGTGTCTGATTTGGCACTTACTTATTTATGGGTCTGCTTAGAGTGTATTTTCCTCGGGCTTCAGTTATATGATGGCCATAAATTTTCATTACGCTAATTAGACAGAGGTGGACGCCTAAGCGCAGTTGGATCCCTAACTCTATTCAGCTGCCTCTGTCATTAGTTTTTTCAGTGACATGATTTGGCACCATTTTCCAACACATTTGCAGGAAATTAGTTTTAAGTTAGAAAAGAACTTGTCTAATAAAGCTACTGACGTTCAACTATTTTTTTTACCTTCTTGGGGAATTGGAGGTGAGTAAATGCATACATTTAAAGCAGTCAGCTCTGGGTTTTCTGGTTGGTTTGGTACCTGAAGAAGGGGTCCTGCCTGGCCCTCTGGCCGGGCTGGCTGGCGCTCGTGCTGATGTCTGGGTCAGGAGGTACCCGACTTGGTGCAGGGCTGGCTGACAGGCTTTAACACGCGGCCACTGCTGGTCGATCAGCGGAACCTGCAGTGCTGAGGAGGATTCTGAAGGGTGGGCCCAGCGGGCAGGACGCCAGCTTTGGTTAGTGACATTTGGTGGTTTTTGGACATGTGCGCCAGCCTTTGTGGTCCACAGCACTGGGTTCGGGTCGAGTCTGGCGTTTCTACATTTCTGCCCGGAAACAGATAACACTCTTGTCTAGCCACAGTTAAACTTAAAAACATTCTACTCCTGCTTTGAAAGGATGCTCTGAAAGTATAAGCCACATCTGTTTCACTTGATCTGCGTTCGCCAACACTGCAGGACACAAAAAGTGGTGCAGCCTGTTTGCCGGGCAAACACGGGGATGTGCATGCAGGCCCAAAGAAAGCGACGATAGAGTCCGTGTTTTTGCTCCTTGAGGAGGGGGTGCTGACACAGTGCGGCCAACTGGGTTGCGCCCAGAGTAGCTCGCTCCCTGACCATGCCCATGTGCACCAGGGCTGACTCTCGCCCTTCCACACAGTGGCTGGTGTATGTGTGTACTGCTCCATGCATTCAGCCCTTGGCAGCTCTCAGCTCTCTGCACGACGTTTGGAATTTCATGCACAGTCAAGGTCTCCCAGGCGGGAGCGAGCTCACAGGCAGCGGGCCTCAGGGCTCCTCATTCAGGAGCGCTGTGATGGGTGCATGTCTCTCCTCAACTTTCTCACGGCGGGTGTTGGCAGTTAGGCACGGCCGAGTGGGCAGCAAGCCGGAAGCCCCTCTCATGTGTGCAGCCACGTTTAGCTGCTGGCGACGGGAGACGGGGAGAAGAGAGCCAGCCCCCTCCTGCCCTGGGACAGGACCACGTAGGAAACCACAAATCTGAAACCACACAGCACATGGGCGTGTGGAGGGCTGCCAGCCTTTTTGTCAGTTCTTCGAAACAAGCATGATGTGGTTACTGTCGCCCTGAATCTCATAGGCAGGGGAATTACACTCATTTTTATACACACATTTCCAAATTCCTTATTTTTGTGATTTCAGGGTCACTTGGTGCAGTCATTTCAGTATTTACTTAGTAGAGTGAGTTTCTAGAATCGATTGTGTGATGGTGCTGAGAACAAGTGAGGACAGTTTTGTAAGTTCCTGTACTTTTCTCTCTCCGTTTCTTGCAGAGTCTCAAATATCCAGCAGCAACTGGCCCAGCTTGATAACGAGTCCTGGCCGGGCATGGCCGAGGCCGACAGAGACCGGCTGCAGCTCATCAAGGAGAAGGAAGCCCTGCTTCAGGAGCTGCAGCTCATCGTCCAGCAGAGGCGGCCGGTGGAAGACGTGGCCCGGCTCGAGGAGGAGAGGAGGCGCCTGGAAGAGGAGATCCAGCGCGCGCGCGCCACCTCTGTGCAGGGCGCCACGGAAAGGTGGGCTTGCCCTCCGGGCCTCCAGGGGCAGGACCCGGCTTCTAGTGAAGAGCCAGCCCGGAAAGCTGCGTTAGCAAACTTGCATGTGGCTTGGGAAGGGTCTTGGTCAGGGCACCTACTGCCTGACCAGCTTCCTTGCCAAGCAGAGAGAAGGTAAAGGGAGAGTGTAGCTTCCTGTCTGTCCATCTGCCTGTCTACGCACCCACCCACCCACCATCTGTTGAGCTCCTACCTCGCATCAGCCACTGTTGAGGGTGCCGGTGGCACATTTTCAAGCAAGACAAAAACATCCTCTGTTATTTGGGCATTCATGACTTAGATGTGCTTTTTAGAATTTGGCCATTCAAACTGAAATCATTCGGGGGCGGAATTTATAGTTGAATTTTCTTGTTAGGAAAATATATTCGCTGTCTTTGAACTCTGCCAATGGGCTGTTTTCTCATCTACAGGATTCTGCTTCAGGAAAAACGAAATTGTCTCCTCATGCAGCTGGAAGAAGCTACGCGCTTAACATCCTATCTCCAGTCCCAGTTAAAGAGGTAGGTACCTTCAAGAGAGAAAGCTACCCTTCGTTCCCATGTTACGGACATCATGTTATAATGACATGCCCAGGAACTTCATAATTCCCTTTAGCTTGGTTTTCTCCACCAGAGCTTAGAACCAGAAGGGGTGTAAACATAGAATGGAAAAGAGGGCACGTTGTATTTTTAAGAGGAGCTGCTAATATACGATTCAAGGAACGGGAGGAGACTGAATTCGGCTGCAGAGTAACAGGTCTGAAGTCAAATTTATTCAAGGATTTTCTAATGCACAGCTTCAGAAGTGTGTGTACCCATCTGCATGTATGCACACCAACCTTTTTATTTTGAGTTTTAAAAAATCATTATAGATAGTAGTTTGGGGGGGGTTATAGATATTTCAAAATAAGATTTGTATGCTCCGTGATAGCTCCTGTTTTCAAGTACTTGCTCTATCGCGAAGCATAGCACTCAGGGCTGTCTATAATTTTCTCAGTTTTATTCCTTTTAAGAGTTTCAGGAGATAGGAACTACTTTTGTCACAGCCCCCGGTGAGAAAGCGGGAAGCTGAGAAAGGGCAAATAACTTGACCACGTGGACTCAGCTAGACTGCCTTTGAGCTGGGCTTGAACTCAGGCATGATTCCTTGATGTTAACTACTGCTCTCTACGGACATTCAAAGGAAACAAAGGAAATATTAATGAAGGTGCCTTACAGCATTCGCAGGTGTTTAAAGACACGCTCCAGTTCATGGGAGAATGGGGCAGGAGTCTGTTCCAGCAGGGACAGACTAGCTACACAGCCTAGCTGTGAACAGCAGGGCTCCAGCCCCATCTTTGGGCTGCTTTCCTGAGGGCGTGGGCTCTCTCGTTTCAGCCTGTCTGCCAGCACCCTGACCATGTCTTCAGGGAGCAGCCGTGGGTCCCTGGCCTCCAGCCGGGGCTCGCTGGCCTCCAGCCGAGGTTCCTTGAGTTCCGTCAGCTTCACCGACATCTACGGCCTGCCACAGTACGAGAAGCCCGACACCGAGTGTAGCCAGCTTTTGCGCTTTGATCTGATTCCCTTCGACTCGCTAGGACGGGATGCCACCTTCTCAGAGCCCCCGGTTCCCGCCGGCTTCCACAAGCAGAGGCGCTCCCTGGACACACCACAGTCCCTGGCTTCCCTGTCCTCCCGCTCCTCCCTGTCTTCCCTGTCTCCCCCAAGCTCGCCCTTGGATACGCCCTTCCTCCCAGCCTCTCGGGACTCGCCCTTGGCCCCGCTGGGGGATAGTTTGGAGGTGCCAAGCCTGGGCGCGCTGGACAGACTGCGGGCTCAGGCCTCCGCTCTGGGAGAGGAAGATTCGCAGGGTGCGGCGTCCCTTCCGCCGCACGCTTTCCCTGGCGACGGGGAAGGACCTCGTGAGCGAGGACCCCAAGTGGCTGCCATTGCCACCGGTACAAGTAAGTATTGCCAAGTCCTGAGTGTTTTCCCGGTCCTGTGGGGAAGGCTTCAGATTCAGGGAAGAAATCATGTGTAAGGGCACTGAAGCCAGCTGGCACTTAGATGACACAGCGAGCTTTAATTTCTGGACCATTGCTAGGGTGAGGAGGGCTGCTGGCCCGCTGTCATGTGGGTCCTTCCCTGCTGTGTCCTGGAAAGGTCAGTGAAATTGGCGAAGTAGTCTTTCCCAGGTGTTTGGCTGGTTTTCAGGAGGTGCTTAATTGTCCACAATGAGGGGAAGAACCACGCGGTCTTCCACATTGAGAGGCTGATAGAGAGGCGCTAGGGCCTCAGTGAACTCTCAGGGCGTGTCCAGATGGAATGTTCCCTGTGTGCCGCCTCAGGCCTGCACGCGGACTGGTGTCTGCCTGTAGCTGAGGAAAATCTCTACTTCCTTTGTCTTTATGACTTCATCTCTTCGTCCTTTGTCCTTATAGTTTTCAAGGATGTAGTTCTATCCAAAGTGGAAATGAAAATAATTGGCACAATTTGAAAAGACGTGCTGGTAAGCATCAGTCATTTCTGCCGGGTCAGTTTCTCTGGCGGTCTTCAAACTGAGGGCCATGTAGCTGCAGGGAGTTTCGTCCCTCCAGTCACTGTTAACTTCTACTTGGTGCCAGGCTCTGTCAGCTTATAGTTCACGTGGAAAACCGAACTGCTGTTCTAGAGAATATTCCAGCTGATGGCCTGTGCACAAAGCAGGGCCTGGGCTTCAGCCCTTCTCCTCTTGACCCTGTGTGCTTTTCTAAGCCAACCTCCAAGAACTTTAGCTTCCTCAGGTTTGAGAGAAGATCAAGAATAAGCTCTCTTATTCCTGAAGTTCACCCCCCTTAATTAACTTATTTGCACACCAAAACGGCTTTAGACATTCTGTTAGGTGAGCACTAGATAATTCGAATAGCACAGTGGATGTCAAGCAGGGGCCTGTGTCGTCCCCCCAATACTTTGCAAGGTCTGTCTAGGGACTGCTCACATTCACAACTGAGGGGGAGGTGCTACTGCCATCTAGTGGCGGGAGAGCAGGGATGCTCAGTGCAGAGGACAGCACCCGCCACAGAGAATGATCCAGCCCAACCATCCGTAGTACTGAGGCTCAGAAATCCTGGTCATGTAGTGTTGAATAGGTTAGCAGTAAAGGGTAGAAATAAAATGTGAACACAAAACTGGATAGTGTAGTGGAAGCAGCTTTGGACTGGCAGCTTAGAGACCCAGAATCCGTTCCCTACCCTGTTGACTTGCTACCTGGGTGACCTTGAGCGTATCCCTGGACGTGGCTGAGTCTTAGCTTCTCTGCCCTGGAATGAGGTGATCTTTATGGGCCCTTCCATTCCCCACCATTCTCTTACCATGAGGCTTTATATATAACTATGCTGGTTACTACATACAAATAAATATGCATAATAGTCTCTGTTAACACTTACAAATTTAATCAGCTCCGGGGCTTTTTAGTGTCTCTGTCATCTTGTGTCTACCCCTCTGTGTTTGCAAACACACCCTTTACATTCCCAGATACAGGGTACACATACAGGTGATCTCCATTGGCTTTGTTGTTTAGAATCACAAGTTCAGGGCTCCATGTTTACTTTTTTCATTCCCAAAAGAAAATACAAAATAGGGACTGAATTAATCTGTTGTGACTTAAGCTCAGTTTCTCAGTGCCCCTGCCTCCCATATGAACTTTTTTTCATTGTTCACATACATTTGTCTCCATTTCCCCCCCACCACTTTCCCCTGCCCCACCCACCCCCACCTCCCACCCTCAATCCTTCCCCACTGTGGCTTTGTCCGTGGGTCCTTTATACATGTTCCTTAAGTTGACCCTTCCCCTTCTTTTCCCCCACGAACTTCTCTTTAAAGTTTGAGATATAGGAATATCAGTCTCATTATGCAGAAAATCCACACAAGGCCCAAGGGCCCTTTTGGGTCGGAGGAAAGGCAGTGTAGGAAATAGAAGAGTTGACTTAATTTCTGATGCTAATTTCTTAATTTTCCCTTTTCCTTTTGTGGCTGGCATTGTAAGGTCTTAAGACTGAAAGGTATTTGCGTTTGCTATGGTCACATACTGCCACCTGGTGTTACATTCGTGCATGACACTTAGTTAACTTGGATCCTTACAAACTAGAAATGACCCAGCAAATGGGTCCTGGTGGGGGCTTCCAGGGGGCCGGGTTGGGTAACCAGCCTCCGGAATGGACGCAGAGTGACTTTTTGCTTCCCTGACGCGGGGGGCAGGCCTCATCCCTGAGCCATCATCGCTTCAGAGAGTTGGAGAATCTCTGCGCTCATTATGTTACCCCGCCCTTCATTTACGAAGCCCAAGGTCACATAGTTCCCTCTGACTTTCCAGTGGAGTCTGGATAGGAACAGTACAGTCCAAGTTTGACCTCAGGCAAGTTTTAGTTAGATAAAATTTTAGGAAGATAACATTCAAAATTGCTCAAACCTACCAGGCAAGCCCTAGGATATAATTTCTTTTAAATCGGTTTCAAGGAACAGAAGGCGGTACAGGGAAATATGGCAATAGATTGTAATCTTGAATATTTTTTACATATTTACCACGGTATTATCTTCCCTGAATTTTAAAAGTCAAACGTCTCATCATTTTTAAATATTTTCCAGTTTTTATTTCCTATTGGTATTTGCTAATCTAAAATGAAAACCTTGACTTTGCTTATCTATTCCTTGATGTTTTTATGATGTTCATACTGTTTAAAATTGTTGGATTAAATTCTGAAGTTTGTTCACTTTGTGCTTTTTCTTTTTATCTCTTTTCTCATGCAACTCGACAGAAACGCTCACTGTAAGTGACCTTGGAATTTTCCTTTACTTTGTTGGTCAGGCTGTGGCACATCTTTGTGCAGTGAATCAATGTCTTCAGGATGGCTCGGGAGCGGCTGAGCGGGCATAGCTTATAGGTGTACTTTAATGAAGTTCAACAATTATCATTATTATTATTTCAACATTAATATTTATCTCGCCTGCTAAAGTTGTATAAGAAAGAACTTTTATTCTTGAAGTCTTTATTCTTCTATATATTTTCCCCCAGATTTTTAGCAGCTTTCATTAGGTTACTATGCCAGGTGGCAGCTTTGCTTACAATGTGATTTTCATTGCATCTTCTTCCTTTCTATCAAGCAGTGTTGATGTTCTCAGGTCTCAGTGTCTGTTTTTTAATGATGAAAGAGGTCAGAGATTTTAAAAATGACTCTTTGGAAGCTTGTTTACTCCTGACTTCATTGGCATTGCTCTCGTGGTCCATCTTGTTGCCTTGAAGCCCGAGAGCAGACGGCTGGAGTACCGGGGGTGGGGGTCTGCTGTGCGCTTTTCTCCTCACCCAGGGCAACTGCTGGCTGCGCTTCCTCCTGTCAGCTCTGCTTGCAGTTGCTCCGTGGTTTCGGTGTCTGAGCCCGGAATCACCGAGGAGTAATCACTTCATTTCCTTTGTCTCTTCATCTACCTTCCTTGCAATGAGAGAGAAACTCTGTCAGAATCACACCGTGAGGTTAACTGGAAGTGCTTATTGCGTGGCCTTAAAGGAACATGAAGCCACGTCGGAGCCGTGTCGAGTGTCAGGGCTGTGAGTGGCAATAGCGGTTTTCGTTTCTGGGATCCGCGCATTAAGCTGAGGGGTTCCACCTGCAATCAGAGCGGGAGACTTTGGGTTCTTCCGGGTGGCAGGGAGACAGGAAGAGCGGGCCTTGGGCAATCCTGACCTACGGTGTGAGAGTCGGTGTCTCCGGCCACTCGAGAATGGAGGTGGCTCTGGCCCTGCCCAGAAGAGGAGCTGGTAGTCCCCAGCTTGGCTCTGCAGGCCTTTGGAAGGTCAGCTTCTGCCTGCAGTTGAGATTGTGAGACCAAGGACTACAGCCCCATCTGTTTTGGGTGTTGTTGAACGTGTTCGGATTTAATTGTGAATGGTAATTTGATTGAAAAAAAGAGAAGGTCATAGGTAGACTCATCACTTCCCTCATGTCGGGGGCGCACGGATGTCTAGGTTTTCCATTTCTGGAGCTCAGATGGCTGAAGAGAAGTGCAGAGACAGCAGAGGAGGTGCGTCACTGACAGGAGGCACCGTCCCATCAGAGTGTGAGGCTCAGAGTGTGAGGCTCGGTGCAGGAAGGCGCCTGGGGACAGAGTCACGGATGATAGGCCTGCCCTGTACTGGTTTTGTTAAAAGGGACTTGGTGCTATGAGGGAAGGAGTAAAACAGTTGAGGAAATGCTGAAAGGAAAGATGTCAGTGGTTATCTTTGGGTTTTGATTAAAACTGATGTGAGGCAAAAAGAAACTGCATAGAAACGGTAGCTTTTTAACCCCAGGTAGGCAATTTTGGAAGCAGACCTGGCCTGCCGAGGAGGATACTGCGGTTACATGGACCGACGTTCAAGGGCATGTTTTCAAAGGCTGCATCTGGGTTCAGCTTTGTCCTATGACTTGAAAGTCACTACATTTTGTTAGGGTTTACTTAGATAATTTTTTAAAATTTTGTTTTCCGATTACAAAACATTAATATATGTTTATTGTATAAAATATGGAAAATACCAAACAGCCTAAAGAAGGAAATGAAAAATACATACCCCCCACTTGAAGAGGCAGCTGCTGTTTGCATTTGGGGTAATGTTTTTCCTGGTCATTTGAGTATGACAGTCTCTCAGAGCACAATGCGAAGGGGCTCCCCACTGACATCTCATGTTCTCTGCTCCTCATTTACGGGATGAAAAAGATTTGTTACAGTTTAAGGAGCTTTTAAAGAAGTAGCCAGAAGTTGATTTCTTCAATTTTTCAGTGTTTAAAAAAAAGTTGAGTGCAGTGTATTTAAACACATGCGTTTTCATACAGCGTGTCTCTGGAGCACAGAAACCAAGCATAAGCTCCAACTCAGAGTTCATTTCTTGGCACCGCTGTGTCCTCCTGACCTGTGTGTCTCTTATTTGTAGCAGTGACTCTTCGAGAAGACAGCGCCAAGAGGCTGGAGAGGAGAGCACGCCGCATTTCTGCGTGCCTCTCGGATTACTCGCTAGCCACTGACAGCGGGGTATTTGAACCTCCAAGCAAAAGGTTAGAAGCTGATCTTATTATCCCCTTCTCCCTAAGCAGCTCTCCCACCGTGTTACTGGTAAGCACGAAAGGGACCCGTCCCGAGAGTCCCACATACTGAGACTTGGTGTATCCCCAGGTGGGGCTTTTTCTGGCTTCTCTCCACACTGGAGGTTGGGCCTTGGGAACCTGCAAAGAAAACTCCTCTGGCTTCGGTGTGGTGTTTGGCTGCTGGCCCTCATCCTGTGGTTCTAGGACGGCTTTTCTCTCTGGCCCTGGTGGGTTTGAGGCTTAAGCCAAGCAGAACTAGGAAAGGAGAATCCATGTACGAGACCTGCTTGACCTGCTTTTCTAGAAGGGACACCCATTAGAGACGAATTTCCTCCTTTCCCGAGCTACCGGGATGGCTTTGCAATGACAAAGCACCTTTTGGAATTTGAAGGTTACTTTTATTTGGTATCTTTACCGTCATTGTTTCACCTCACTAATTGCAAACTTGTGAGAAGTTCATCTTTGAACTTTGCTCAGAGTATCACACGTGGTTTTGAAAGGTATGCGAAGTTGTTTTCTAGAACATGCCAGTTCAGAGGCAGGTGCTTAATGAGATGTGTCACGGACCCAGGGACCTGCAGTCACTTGAAGAATTTATTTACTTATGTTGCAATTTAATAAAGCTTCTGTTGGTACGAAGCACCCCTCCCACGAGAGCGCGTGCGCTAACCCTGCGGTCGCCGGTTGCCTGTGGAGTAACCGCTGTGACTTTCCGGTTGTGCTCAGGAGTGAAGATGCCGACGAGCCTGCCCATGGAGACACTTGCGTTATTGAAGGGCCCCAGATCCACGTCGGGTTCTGGTGAGTACAGAAGACTCCTTCCCTGACGCTCGTAAAGGTGATTTACAGTAGATTGGGGCCTGCCCAGTGACTCACAGCTCCGCAGAAGGGCCAGGAGGGACAGAGGGACCCACGGGATTGGGGGCTGCCCACTGGCCCAGATACCCGAGGCCGCTGCAGTGGTCCCAGGGGAGGGGACACAGGTGGCAGGAAGGAGAGTCGGGGAAGAGCCGCTCCGTTGCTCCAGTGCCTGCCAACACTGAGAGTCACAGATGGGAGCTGTCACCTCTTGAAGCTGGAGGTTTGCAGCTGTCAAGCAGGAACGGCAAAAGCCCCCGGTGAGGTGGGCGGGCTCTTGGGGAAGTTCTCACACGGTCCTGCGCTGAGTCGCCTCTGCGCGCTGCGCCACAGACAGCAGGCCTGCCTCCTGCTCCCCAGCGCGAGAAACCAGCGGGCTAGTTCGCAACACGAGGCTTTGTGCTTCCTGGTCAGTTTCGGTAGTGCTCCGACTATAGCAAGGCAGGACGCTCGCGGCCCGAGTTTTCTTTTGCTCACTCTTGTCATTCAGTTGAGTGCTTTTCAGCGTTGGCACTAGTGTCATTTGGGGCCGGAGCATTCTTTGTTGCGGGCGCTGTCCTGTGCACGGTGGGATGGTGAGCAGCACCTCTGGGCTCCACCCACCGATGCCAGTATCTTGTCCTCTGCCCAGTCGTGACACCAAAAGTGTCTCCGGCCATGGCGCATGCCCCTGGGTGGCGGGTATGGCAGGACCACCCCCAGTTGCGGGCCACTGCTGTAGTGCATTTGCACACTTTGGGGAATGGGCGGTTGATGAATTAGTATTTCGTTTTCTAGGCATGACAGTGGCAGCGAATGTCTCCTCGTGAACGTGCTCCAGCTGAAGAACTTCGCCGGGCTGGTTGTGAAGGAAGACTGCAAAATGTGAGCCCCCGGGCCAGCGAATGTCCCACCCACCACCCGCGGCCTCGCGGCCTTCCTGCTGCAGTGCTGCTCACTGGCCTGCTCCCCTCGGCAGTTTGGGTTGGGAACCCCAGTTTACAACCAAATCAGGGAATATCTGTCTTTAAAAGCAGGGCTGTAAGTTTTAAGAAGAGCCTGCTTTATTACTTGAGGCAGATGGAGTGAGTGGAACCCGGCTGCCCACGTGCTACGGCGGTACCCAGAAAGCGCCCAGGGCCCATCATTGGCCACATTTGGGCTTGACACGTCCATCCGGGTCCCGGGGCTGGGTGGTAGTGTAGCCACACTCGGCTCTGTGATCCAGTGAGGTACCTGAAGAGACCTCTGGCTGGGAAGCGGGGCCCCTTGTCTGAGGGGAGGAGAAGGAAATAGCAGTTGTCACCATTTGAGAGGTGCTACTGCCTCTGTGAGCCCCGCAGCCCAAGGTAGGTGCTGGACGGAGGTCCCAGCTACCCAGCGGGGTGAGCGCACCGGGAGTGAGGCATTCACATCCGCGGGCTCCTCCATGAGGCTCCTTCATTAACTCATCCTCTAAAGGCCACAGAAGCAGCTGGGGTGGAAGTGGCTGAGGGCTCCCCGGGGCTTTGTTCTCCCCACGGTGGACTTGGTGTGTTCGCCAGTGTGCTGGTCTCCGTGCTGGGGTGGACAGGGCAGGACACGCGGTCCCAGAGGCCAGGCAGGCGGAGCTTGATGGGGGAGCCGAGGCACACTGGGGCGAGAGCGCAGATGTCTTCCCCAAGAGGCAGGAAAGCAGAACCTCTGACTCCTCTCAGGCCTGACTACTGCCTTTGAAGTCTTTCTCTTTGTGCCTGGGCTTCCCCTAACCTCCAGGGGCATCTAAGCGCCTCGGCCAGCCTTGCTCTTTGTGGAGAAAAGGACTTTCTCCAGAAGACTTCGTGGTTCTCCCCGTGGGTGTTCAAAGAGGACGATGTGTGTGCGCGCGAGCGCGTGTTTGTGCGCGGTCCCGTGCAGACCGCCCGTAGCCTGACTCTGTCTGCTGGTTTCTCCTCTCCGCTTCCAGACATGTCCGAGTCTACTTGCCATCACTGGACTCCAGCACACCGGATACTTACTGCTCCAAGGCTGTGGAATTCCAGCCCCCCCTGGTATTTAATGATGTTTTCAGAATCCCCGTGCACCCAAGCACGTTGACGTTGAAGTCCCTTCAATTATATGTGTGTTCAGTGAATCCGCAGCTGCAGGAAGAACTGCTGGTATGGCCTACGCATGCGCGAGCTCTGCCTTCTGTGCCTCCCTCCTTCCTTTCTTTGTCTTTCCATCCGTCTTTCTTTTCTGCCGTTCTTTCTTCATCCCTCTTTTGTCGTCTTCTCTCTCTCTTTCTTAGTCTTATTCCGTCCTTACATCTTACTTTCTTTGTCTCTCTGCTTTTCTCCCTCTTCCCCTTTCCTCTCTGTCCCCTCCTTCCGGTTTCCCGGGGTGGGTTGCGGAGAAAGCATCATGCTAAGGAGGGTCTCTGTAACTGGGAGTACAGAAGAAGACGACAAAACCAGTTATCTTGTCATGTGTTTTGTGCTCTAAAAATATGGTATCATCTCAAATGAGACTTGCAAAACTCCAATTCAACAGCTTCTAAATTATCCCCATTTTTAGTCGAGGGAACAAAGTAGGGTAGACAAATTTGGCAAATGAAAATATAGGATGGTCAGTGAAATTTGAATTTCAACTATAGGTCCTTTTTAAGTATGTTTAATACAGTATTTGGGACATACTGATGCTTTAAAAACAAGTTGCTCATTTGCAGTTCGGACTTACCTGGACGGCCCTGTGTTCCTTCCCGGCAGTGTGCCTTCGGTCTCCTGTGTTCCTTCCCGGCAGTGTGCCTTCGGTCTCCTGGCCGTCCACTGTGCGGCCAGACTCGGAGGCCAGCGTGGTTCCCTTGCAAGGCTGGAGCGTTGCCCTTCAGTCCTGGCCCCTCAGCAGCAGAATTAGGGATTGTACAGTACGGCCAGGTCTCTCTGCTTTCAAAAATTCCCAAGAGCATCAACCCCACTCATCAAGTGGCAGACCCTGAGCCCAGCCCACCCTTTCAGATTGGCCATTCTCTGGCCCTCTTCCCCTTCTAGCATTTTCTGATTGGACTGAACAAGCAATCGAGAAGCTACTCCTTTCCCCATTAGGCTCCTCTGTGATCACTCATTTTACTGCAGTCCTTTGAAGGACAGTGAAACATCTCACCTCCTTTCTGGTCAGGATTGGGGGACAACTTTGATGTTCTAGAAGATTCCCATTGGTGGTGGTTATGGTGAAATCACTCGGTGCCTGTTCTGCCCTTTTTTTTTTTTGACCCACCCATGCAGGGCATTGCTCAAATTAACTTGGCCGACTGTAACAGCCTGAGTGAAATGCAGCTGCGCTGGTACCCAGTCCAAGTGTTCACCAGCCCTGACCTGCCCAGGACAAGGGAGAGCCCGCGGGCTGAGAAAAGCAGCACCCGGGACCCTGTGCACACCGCTGTTGCCACCACTGCCGCCACTGCTGCCGCTGCCACCACTGCCGCCACCGCCGCCGCCACCGCCACTGCCGCCGCCGCCGCCGTCGCCACCGCCACCGCCGCTGCCGCCATTGACTCTGGGAAGACGGTGCGTGTGTCTGGCCTACAGAGCAGCTCACTCCTGCTTCCTGGCCTTGAGACTGGCTTTTCCTGGGGGAGGTCCTCGCTAAGAAGCATGTGTGTAGACGTGGTCTTGGAACATAGAGGTGAAGCAGCAGATTTTCAAAGGAAGTCATAAAAATTGAAAGGATGAATGTGCATGGCCATTCGTGATAGTGTTTTTTAACACAAATGTGGTCATGATCGTGATGGCCTGTTGGTTGTTTTAATATTTGAGCCTTTAGCTGTTAGCAGTGGGGTGGACTTCTTCCCCCGGAGAGCAGCTGAAGGACAACCGCCAGCCTGGAGGGAGGTACCTCACTGAGGGGTGGGCCCTGTACCTGCTGCTCCGAGCTGGTTATTAGACCTGCCCCTCTCCTCCCGCAGGACGCAGTGACGGTGCTGCTGGCTAGAACCACGGCCCAGCTGCAGGCGGTGGAGAGAGAGCTGGCCGAGGAGCGCGTGAAGCTGGAGTACACGGAGGAGGAGATCCTGGAGATGGAACGGAAGGAGGAGCAGGGGGAGGCCGTGTCCGAGCGGTAAGGCTCCTTGGGACCGGCAGTGAGGCGGCATGCCTTTTGTCGGGGCCGAGGCCGTCGCTGTGTCCGTCAGCCGTGGTTCTGGGAGGAGCTGCGTCTTTGGGTGCACGTTGCTTTTCTCATCCACGTCTCTGCAGAATGCGCTGGGCGATTATTCAGAGAAGTGGGGACTCTCCTGGGGGAACTGAATGCTGACCTGGACGAGGGCAGAACTTTGACCTCTGTGCCCCCGCTCTGCGTGTAGGCTTTTCACCTTCTCCTTCTGTTCCAGGATTTCTCTTAAAGAGCGGGACTATGGAATGACTCCGCTCTGCCGGGAGTGAATACCAAAAGGTCCCTTTAAGGTTTTTTTTTTGAACAGCTGTATTGAGATACAATTTATCTACCATACAATTCACCCATTTAAAGTGGACAATTTGGTGGTTTTTTGTACAGTCACAGAGTTGTGCCACCATCGTCATAATCAGTTTTCATCAGGCCAAAAAGAAACCCCATGCCCATTAGCCGTCACCCCCGTTCCGCCTTCCCTTCGCCCCTGGCCACCCCTAACCTACTGGCTGTGTCTGTGGATTTGCCCGGTCTGGGCATTTCATCTAAGTGGAACCATATGATGTTCCTGCCTGTTTTACCGTCAGTGGCCTATTGGTGAGCCCTTGACTTGGTGCAGACCCACCTGCCATAGAGAAATAATGGAGAAGCCCAGCGCCTCGAGTGCACTGGCTGTTGTCTGAACCTTTCCAGAGGCACTTTCATATTGCTTTCCGTCCACAGTTTTCCATAAAGAGTGTCGTATTTCCAAAGCTTCCCGCTTCTTCCTGTAGCTCTTCCTGGATTTATTTGAGAGGAATTTCTTTTATGGAGGGAGGTGCATGGCCGAGGGGGGCAGTACTGTATTCAGGGCCGGGCGGGAATCCGCGAGAAGCCTGGGGAGGGTTTCCGGGGTGCTGGCATCTTCAGCAGGTGCAAGTGCGGGAGGAGGACACACAGGGCCTTTTCCTGAAACTCCTTGCAGCACTGCGCTCCCTAGAAAACATAAGTGCACTTTTATAAGGAAAGCAGCTGTCCGCAGTGACTGGAAGCAGACGGGGGCTGTCTCTGCTACTGTGCTCTGCGTGCACCAGGGAACCGTCCCTTGGGTGAGCATTGTGTGGGCTTTGCAATATGCACCCTTAGGAGCTGGCAGGCCGACTCGGTGGACAGCGGCTGTAGCAGCTGCACCCAGACCAGCCCCCCGCACCCAGAGCCCTGCTGCACCGCTGTGGACTCCATCCACGCACAGCCGTTTGCGGGACAGGCAGATGCTTACAGCCCTGAGAAACCTCCGCCCCCTCCTCTAAAGGTAAGCGTAAAGGTCAAGGGGGTCCCTGGAACCCCAGACACTTTGCCGCCCAGCACCGGCAGGAGAGCATGCGTGCCCCGCACCCTCCAGGTGAAACCGTGGGAATTGGCGGGCAGAGGGGCTAAGGGAGCGCGGAGCTGAGAGGCTTGGGCGCAGGAAAAGAATGCCACGCGTGGCTGACTGACAGAGAGCCCGGGGACAGTGGCTGTGGGAAGTGTCTAAAACGCGCAGGACCGTTGGATCAGGGCCCATGGTGAAGGCATTTTGCTGAGAGCTGAGGAAAAGCAGGGGCTGGCTTCAGGTTAGTAAATAGGACCATAAAAATGTTTGTCAACTTTAAAAACAAAGAACAACTACAACTAGAAATGGTTGACTTGAACTCCTTCACACGCCTCTTGGTGACAACCCAGTCCCATCTCCAGGGCCACCGAGGCACCGGCTGTTTCGGCGGCCCCCGGTTTCGGACACTTGCTTTTCTCCCTTAGGGACTCTAAGAACAGTGAAGCATCCTTTTGTGCCTTCCCTTCGCCTGATCTCAGTTGTGTCCACCCCCAGATCTTCAGGGAGGCCATCTTTCAGGCTTGCAGTGACAGATGTCTAAGGGAACCAGTGCAATTAGAAGATAGCTAATCAATGCTCTATTGAGACTTTGTTCCCAAACTGTTCAGCTCACCCAACACAAATACTGAGGAAGCGAAATCTGCCCCGTCGGCAGCTTCCAAGGCCGCGGCGCGCGTGTGGTGGGGCTGGGCTGCGGCCGGTGCTGCTGTCCGACTTCCCAGCCCCTTCGGAAGCAGTGGCCCAGATTATGGCAGAGGCTGTGGGAAGCTAGTTTGGTGTGGCCCACTCCTCCAACTCTTCATTTTAAAACACTTCAAGTCTATGGAAAAGTTGCTGGAATAATACAACAAATAAGCCAGAGAGTCTTTCACCCGGACCCCCTCCTAGTTCCTCACCATGTTGGCAGTCTTTCCGTGCGTATGTGCGTAGGCGCCCGGTGTCGCAGAGGCAGCAGCAAAGGAAATGGGGAGTCCTGCCCTTGGGGGAGACGGGCAACAGACAGGGCAATCAGGAGGCTGAGAGGCTGAGCCTCCTGCTGGAGGCTGAGATGGTAGAGAAGTGGGGTTAACAGTCTAGAAATATTTACTATCTTAGAAAGGATTTACGTTTAGAAATATAAATTTGCATTTATATTTTGGAAAGGTCGGGATTGTAAAATGGTACAGTCCCTGGGGAAAACAGTATGGAGGTTTCTCAAAAAATTAAACACAACTACCACATCACCCAGCCATCCCACTATTGGATATATCTCCAAAAAATTGAAAGCAGGTCCCCAAGAGACATTTGCACATCCATGTTCATAGCATTATTTACAGTAGCTGAGATGTGTGACCATCCCAAGTGTCCATTGATGGAGGAATGGATAAAGAAAATGTGGTATATATGTACAATAGAATATTAGCCTTAAAAGGGAAATCACGTGACGTGCTACAAATGGATGAACCTTGAAGACTTTATGCCAAGTGAAATAAGCCAGTCACAAAAGGACGGACACTGGGTGAGCGCACTAATGGGAAGTGCCCCGGAGCAGTTAGACTCATAGAGATCGGAAGTAGGCGGTGGGTGCCTGGGGCTGGGGGAAGGGAAGTGGGGAGTTAGTGTTCAGTCGGGACAGAGTTTCCATTTGGGAAGATGAAAAACTTCTAGATCTGTTTCTCAACAATATGAGTATATTTGATATTATTGAACTGTACACTGAAAAATGGTTAAGGTGGTAAATTTCATGTTATGTGTTTTTTACAATAAAAAAGAAAGAAAGGTCATGGAAGCCTCGTGGAGAAGGTGATTTTTGAGCAGGAGCCTTAAGGAAGGGGGCCCAGGAGCCTTGCGCAGGGCCAGGGGAGTGTTCAGGTAGAGGAAGCCACAGGGGCCGTCCTGGTGGGGAGGGCTGGGCACAGGACTTGGAGCTGAGGACAGGAAGTGAAGGGGCAGGTCATATGGGGCCCAGTCAGGACTCTCGCTTTTTTTCGGAGACACTTGGGAAACTGGTGAATGGTTTGAGCCCAGGGGTGACATGATCTGACTTCAGTTTTTTTTTGTTGATTTTTTTTTTCGTAAAGTAATGTATTGACATGAAATTTACAGAAGATGAAATGAACCATTTCAAAGTGAACAGTTCAGTGGCATTAAGGATATTCAGTGTCGTGTACCCACCACCTCTGTCGGCTTCCAAAACACTTCTGTCTCCCCAAAGTGAAACCCAGTCCCCATGAGCAGTCAGTCCCTCCCCATTCCCTCTCCCGCAGCCCCTGGCAACCACCAATCTGCTTCTGTCTCTGTGGATTTGCCCATTCCGGCTGTATTCTGTAAATAGAATCACACAATATGTGACTTTTTGTGTGGGGCTCCTTTCACTCAGTCTAATGCTTTCTGGGCTCACCTGCGCACATTGCGGAGTCTCTCAGGGCTTCGCCCTGGTCCCAGCTGAACAGTCGTCCCTTGCCCGGGCTGCCACGTGTCCTTATCTACCCACTCGTCAGTGCATGTTTGGACTGTTTCCACCTTTCAGCTATTTGAATAATGCTGCTGTGAAAACATTCGTGCGCAAATACTTGTTTTGTCCACAAAAGGAAGACTTGAGCCTTTGTAGATTTAAGAAAAGACTTTTATGTGGGCCCAGCTGAGGACATGCCTGAGAGCAGAGTTCCAAGAAACCTTGAAACAGTGTCTGACTTTAGGCAAGGGAATGACCGGAGCTTCTCTGGGCAAGAGGACACAGAGAAAGACAGCTATGTGTCAGCAATTTGAGTAAGTCCCATACATTCAAGGAAGCAGACGACCTCAGGCGGAGGGAATGTACAGATAAGGTGGGGTCATCCAGTGCCTGGAGTCAGGGAGTCATGGGAATGGGCCTGGAAGCAATTATTTTGAAACCTTTATCAGGATGTAGAAAGAACAGGCTTTGCCTCCTATAATCATTTATCTTTGTAATTGGGACTGTTAGAGAGTGTACGTGACCAGCCCCGCAGAAGGCCTCGGGGAGGAATTTGCCGGGTTCCCCTGGTTACTGATCAGGTTGGGGCAGCTTACACACCCTTTCCTTCCCCAGTAGCGAACCCCTGTTTTCAGGTCTTCTCGATATACTCAGAGGAGAGGAGTGTGTGTGTCTGGCTGCAGTTCTAGCAGGGTCTTCCTGGGTGCTGTGTGGAGAGGGGACAGAAGAGGGGCAGGCATGGAGTCAGGGCCACGGGTGAGATGCCTACTGCACTCCCTGGGCGCAAGACCGCAGTGACCCAGATGGAGGGTTGGTGACAGGTGGTCAAAATGCACGTGATCTTGAATATGGATCCAAGAGGACTTGATCTTGGGCCAGATCCTTGGGCCAGAAAGAGGACAAGAATGCAGGATGATACCAAGACTTTTTTTTTGCATGAAAACTGGCAAGTAGAGGTCCTTGTGAGAGGAGGACGGGTCGGGAAAGATCAGAAGTTCAGTTTCAGGTGCGTTAAGTGTGACATGGCGGTTAGAACTCCAAGCAGAGGAGGCAAGGGTGTGGTCGTGCACGCAATGTTTACTGCCGTGTTCTAGAAGAAGTCGTGGTAATAATGAGTTACTGTCTAGGTCGACAAGGAAACCAACACCGAAGACCTCTTCCCAGAAGAAGTAGCGAGTCTTCCGAAGGAGCGACCCAGCCGCAGAGCCCGCGGGTCGCCTTTCGTCCGCAGCAGCACCATTGTCCGTTCCCAGACTTTCTCGCCTGGGGCGCGAAGCCAGTATGTTTGCAGAGTAAGTTGGCGTTCCTTTGCCACCAGAAAAATGGGTCGTCCCCCCGCCCCCCGGTTGTGTTTTCATTTTTACTCTTTATGCTAAAAGACATACGTGTTCTCACAGCTAATCCCAATCAGTGAGCAGCACCCTTGTGTGGATATGAAATCCATGCTGCTCTCATCTGCCCTGCCTTGCCGCAGGCATATCTAACTGGATTTCTCCCGGATTCCAACCCCTTTGCCGTGAGGCTTTCAGTGCTCTGTATGCACCAACTCGAGGTCAGGAAGCAGGGTGACGCATCTGTACATCGGTCTAGGGGATAATGGATCGAAACCGGGAATATCCTGAGTGGGGCCGAGATCGGCAGGTCAGCTCGCTGCGAGTCGGAGGGCCTGAGTGGGGAGGCATGCAGGAGGCCCAGGGAGGATGGCAGCCGCAAACACGTGGGCTCGGGGGCCGCTGGCTCTGCCTTCCTACCCGTGAAGGCGCGCTCACCTTTTTGATGGGAGGCGCTGGCCGGCTCTCAAGCCCGGCTGCTCCTTGCAGTCCAGTCACGTTGGGGGCCTTCACACATGCTAGTGCCTGGGTTCCACTCCCAGCGGTTGTCGTTGGTCATGCAGGGGCCTGGGCATTGGCACTCCGGGGCGCTTCTGGATGATCCCAGCGTGCTTACAGGGTCGAGAAGCCCAAAGAGCTGGAGAGGGAGACCCAATCCACTGTGGTCCTTGGAGAAGGGACAGCATGTTGGAGGCCGGCAGGCAGTGACAGCGCAGACGAGGACAGAGAAGGGATTTTTAAGCATAAATGGGTTGGACACAGTGCCCTGGAGGGGCCATTGGATGGGGGAGAACTTTGACCCTTCCCACTCCTCTGATTTGGACTCGTTGGAGGGGCTGCCAAGGAGCTGGCTCTGTGAGGGCAGAGCCATCATTTCGTTTGTGATCATGGCTGTTCACAGTGACAGGATACAGACCAAGACCAGCAGAAGGAAGAGGCACATAGGGCCGCGTTCAGGAGACACCGGCCACAAGCTTTCGGTCGGTCTCTCCAGCAGGGTTGTGCAGACAGCTTGTATCTCTCCCAGCAGTGACAGGTGACAGCACACACGGGTATTGCCCACCGAGCGGGGTCACCTGAGCCTTGGTGTGCAGGCTTTCTGTGGGGTTGGCCGTGTTGCCCTAGTTCATTGCCACGCGACAGCCTGTGGTCTTCAGGCCCCCAGAGGTCAGGCTCATGGCCGGAGGCCCCCCGCTATAAATCACATTGTCAGCGGAGATTGCGTGGCTTGGCCCAAGGTCCCACAAGACACTTAGGCAGGACATTCCAGGGCCTTCCAGGTCACCTCTCGGGCGCTGGCTAAGGACCGTTCTTGGTGCAGCATTAATCCTTTACCGCACACACTGAACAGCAGGAGGTGACGCCCAGGGGGCCCATGCTGCCCTTCTGCCACGTCTGTGAGACCTGCTGCTCTCTGCACGCACGTGAGGTGTCTGGCTCACGGCTGCCCCGGGCGGCACAGCGTCAAGCCCAGGCACTCCTGTTCCGTCAGGGTTTAGCCCCTCTGTTGGGCTCCTGGCCCCGCTGGCTCTGTCGGCTCTGCAGTGGGAAGCGCCTTCCCCACAGGACCTCAGTGCAAGACCAAATCCGAAAAACAGCTTTTTCCTCCTAAGCCGTGGCGTATCAGTTATACAGAAATACCGCTTTGGGAAACAGTCTTCAGGAAGGCCTTGATGAGCTCATACAATCTTAACAGATCACCCCGAAGCCGCCCTTCCAGCTCCGCCTCTATACATTCAGCAGTGGCTCAGAGGCTCCGGAGCAGAGTCAGTTTCAGGGGTTCTCCAAAAACGTACAGATTCTGCGATAATGCGTAGACTTTGGTATTGAATGATGCTGAGTTCAGAGAGGTGGCGGAACTTACTAAAGCGGGGCGGGGCGGGGCGGGGCGGGGGAAGGATTCCGCCCTGTGGGGCCAGTGCTGAGTCAGGCGGCTGGAGGCGCTAGATTGAAGGCCACCCTCCTGTCCCTTCCTAAGACTCTTGCCCAACACTGTGGAGCAGATTCAAGCCTGCTCGTTGCGAAAGCGAGGTGGTGGAGGAGGAAAGCCGTTGCTCCCCCGGAGGAAGGCTTCCAGCGCCTGTCTGGGTTCTGCGCCCTGCCTAAAAGCACGCGTTTACTCACGGCGCTGTCAGAGGCCGCTTTGTTCTCATATATATTTGTCATCGGGAGGCATGGCAGCCGCCATGCCACGGCGCTGCCTGAGTGTTTTGGGCCACGAAGGCCAGGACTTTGGCTTTCACACAGATCCACATTGATCCTGAAGCGAGAACCCGCCACCAAATGAAATACATAATGTCTTGGCTCCCATAAAGAAGGCATTATTTATTTTTCTTTTTCAAGGCGGACCTCTCCCCGTGACTGGCAGAGCGGGTGTGAGGGCCTACTGCAGGGGCGAGGCTGTGTTTTGGAAAGTACTTTCTTTCCAGCCCTTGGCAAAACCAGAAATACAGCAGATGACAATGATGAAAAGTGCCAAGCGCTGAGGACAGGGCTGGCTTTCATGAGCGTCGCACATCATATCCAGCCGCAGTGGCTATTGATAGGACAGAAATTCTGTGGACTCAGTTAGCCCAGAAAGTTCCCATGGTCTGGTTGGTGGACATGAAGGAGGGCGGGTTGTTGCGGGGAGAGAGGGGGCTTGGTATGCTTATTGGGTTTGTTTTTCTTTGTCTTTTGTTTTACTGAAAAGTCTTGTTACTGAAACCAGGAATCTCGGTTAAAGCACTGCAATTCACAAGTACATTTGAGTGCCTATGAGGAGAAAGAAAATAATCTAATTCAGAGTACAGAGAGAGAGGGAATCTTGAGTTTTCCAAGAAAGCGTTTGTGAACCTCGTTCTTTTTGGTGCAGCTCTATCGTAGTGACAGCGACAGTTCAACGCTGCCCCGGAAGTCCCCCTTTGTCCGAAACACTTTGGAAAGACGAACCCTTCGCTATAAGCAGGTGTGTACCACGTAAGCTAATATGGAACCTAGACTTCCCCTGGGAGTTATTTTTAGAAATCTTAAAAAAGGTAATCTTTCAGAAAACTGCTTCACCTGTGTTCTTTAATTGTGGGAGAACCTTCTAGAAGGCCCGAGCTTGCCTGCCGCGTGGCGCCCACATGCCCGGTTAGCACGTGTGCTCACGGCCGTGGTCCCCTGCAGTCCTGCAGGTCATCCCTGGCCGAACTTATGGCCCGCACCTCCCTGGACCTGGAGCTGGACCTCCAGGCGTCGAGAACTCGGCAGAGGCAGCTGAACGAGGAGATCTGCACCCTCCGCGAGCTGAGGCAGCGCTTAGAAGACGCCCAGCTCCGAGGCCAGACCGACCTCCCACACTGGGTGCTGCGCGATGAGCGATTCCGGAGTCTGCTGAAGGAAGCAGAGAGGCAGGTACGAGGCCCGGGGCCTGGTCGCACCGCCCTTTGCACTGGTGCTAGTGGCTCACAAGTAAGCATTTCAGATGGTAAAACTAATGTAAGCGACCCAAGCGCTCGCATTCAGGAGCTGGGTTTCTCCCTCTCTTCGGGTGGCACCAACGCACACCTGGACGCCTTGCAGCTGCCACGTAGGGGTGCAGTGAGGTTCCCCTGCCGGAACCCCCGCTCCCCGCTTTGCGGTGAGGTGTTTTGTGTCCCTTGTCTGTGAGGCATGACCCCAGGGACCCCGAGTAGGTGCTGTGAAGATTCCCTGGGTGCACAGAGTTGGGAGTGGTTTCATTCATTCCTCCTTAACAGTGGTAGTATAACGTCTCGTTCATCCACTGTTGTTCTTCCAGACAAGACAGACCAAACTTGACTTCCACCAGGAACAGGCAGCTGAGAAGATGCTGAAGAAGGCCTCCAAAGGGGTCTGCCAGCTGCGTGGGCAGAACCACAAAGAGCCCATCCAAGTGCAGACGTTCAGGTGGGGAGGACGCAGGCCTCGCTCTCCTGCTCTTTACTGTCATACCTGCCATTAGAAAGACTTTCATAAGTCTTGAAAAAACCCACAAAACAGGAATCCCCACTGCTATTAGCATTTTCATGTTTTCTTCTGCTCTTTTTTTTCCTAGATGCTTTTTTTCATGCTATTTGCCATAATAATGTGGGTTCAGTGATGCATTTAGCTTTGTTCCAGTTAAATAGCGTGCGTTGCCACACGATCCACCTTTGTTGGCTGTTGTAGCTCATCTAATAGATATAATTTACAGGAATATTCTCTTTTATAATGCTGTTTCTTTCCCAGTGGTTCCTATTGTAATCGACACAGTGATTTGCTTATATACACATCTGTGTAGCACCTTGGCCTTTTTGGTTACCTCCTGATTGCAGCATAATGTCCACACTGGGAAGTGTGCACATCGTAGCTGTGAACCAGTTCAGGGAATTATCACAGATGCCACCACCTCTTCCCACACCAGAGTGACCACCGTTTCGAATCTGAATAGCATAGATGAGCTTCCCCATATCTATTCACATCGCATAAAATGAATCATTTAAAATGAACAATTCCAGTCCTGACTGGTGTGGCTCAGTTGGTCGGAAGTTGTCCCACAAAGTGAAAGGTCGTTGGTTCGATTCCTGGTCAGGGCACATGCCTGGGCTGCGGGTGTGGTCCCTGGTCAGGGCACATGCCATATTTCTCCCTCACATCGATGTTTCTTTCCCGTTCTTTCTCCCTCCCTTTCTCTCTCTCTAAAAGTAAAATACATAAGATACAAAATAAAATAAAGCGAACAATTCCACAACATGTGGTACATTCACAATGTCGTTCAACCATCACCTCTGTCTAGTTCCAAAACATTTCCGTGTCCCTGAAAGGAAACCCAGTACCCATTACGCAGTCACTCCCCGTTCTCCCCTCCCCCCGCCCCCGGCAACCACCACTCTGCTTCTGTCTCTTTGGCTTTGTCAATTCTGGACATTTCACATAGGTGGAGTCATACAATACGTAGTCTTTTGTGCTCGGCTTCTTAGGAGAATGTTTTTGAGGCTTGTCTACATTGTAGCATGTGTTAGAACGTCATTCCTTTTTATGGCTGAATAATACATGCCTGACTTTTCCTCTTAATTTTTTTACACCTTGAATTTTCACATCCCCATCATAAAAGAACATAAAGAGCCTGCCTTCCTTCAACTATGGTTTAGAATGCCTTCATTTGTACAGTTTTTATTCATTAATTTATTAATAAAGCAAATATTTACTGAGTGCCTAATGTATACCAGGCACTGTTCTGGGCACTAGAGACAAACCCTTGCCTTCATGAGGCTTCATAACTTCCATTACAATTTAGAGACTCTATATTCCAACAGATGTGTTGTTTGGACTTAAATTCAATCTGTTCTATGAGTAAGAGAAGCGTTCATTGATATTGCGAGCCTCCTGGCAGCTTTCAATGCATTTATATTAGCTTCTAACCTGTAATTCTTTCCAATTCCAGGGAGAAGATAGCATTTTTTACAAGACCAAGGATTAACGTACCTCCTCTGCCCGCCGATGATGTTTGATGTAGTGCTTTGTACACATGAAGTATTTATCTTCCTGTTTTGTTTTCATGAAGTTCTTAGACTAGCTAAATTTGTCTTTAAAATATTTGTGCAAAGCTATTAATATACACATTTTGTAAAAAAAAACACATATCTATACATATATATTTTATAATAGTGACGGCAACAGGGCTTGGTTTTTCCTTGTTGTGAAATTGACATCTCTGAAGACAAGTTATTTTATAAAAGATCAACTATCATGTTAAGAGTGTACAGTTTTTACGCTGTTTTATTTGACTTAAAGGCTGGAAGACAGAAACGAAGTGAGTTCAGGCAAATTCACTGTATTGTAATTTATTTATAGTACTTTTTTTTCCTTGAAGGAAAATACTGACTTTAAGATGTATTTTAAGACTGAAATTTTGTTCTTCAGTATTTGTCATGCAGTAGAATGGAACTTTTGGGGCCGGTTTTGTTTCTGACACGGAAATGTAAACACTTTGTCCTAAATTTGTCACTCGTACCAGCTTCTCATGTGTGCCTTTATCATGTACATTGTCCACTGTCACACTCATTGTGTTCTGTTAAGATCCCACCTCGGGGCTCAGTCGTAGTTCACACGTGTGCGCGCGGGCATCGCAGAGCTCGGTCTCCCACGGCGACTGCGCACTGAGAGCCCTCATTTCTGTGTTGAGTCAGCACGCCAGCTCTGTGCTCCCCCCGAGTCTCCCCGCAGAGCCCCCGGGGCCCTGGCTGGGGCCTGCCCGTCCACGGCGGCTGCCCACTCTGCCCTGCACCGGCCCCGGCCGGCCGCTCTCCCGGTGCGCCCCATCCGAGCGTCACCGACCAGGGAGGCGGTGCTGGGGCTCCCGTTCTACTGCTCTGTCATGAAGGAAAGTGAAAGGGACCTAGGAACGTGCCCTCGCATCAGTCAGTGAGTCCGCTGATGCAGACAGCAGTTCCGCCATAGACACGATGACCTCTGAAGGCGCTTTTCTGCGGAAGGAAGCGCATGCGGGTAACGGCAGTTACCCAGCGAGTCACTTACAGGAGAGTGTTTGATTCATTTGATTTAAATCGCAGTCCTCCCTGGTACTGGAAGGTACCCAATATTTCTTAAGAAATCTTAGAAGTAGTTCATGAGAAAAAAAAATGTTTTATGTAATTAAAAAATACCATTATTCTTTTAAAATGCCAAATGATATACCTATTTTGCCTCGTGCATATTTATTATATATGGAATGCACTCTCCTTTCTGAGGCCTCAGAGAAGGAAACGAGGTGGTCACATGAAATAGAAAAGAGAACTCCCTCGTCCTAGATTTCTCTGCCCCTCCCTTGGAAATGCCACCTTTTAATCAATGTCTCTCTTCTCATTAGTCTGTAATTGTCCCCCTTGTATAATCCACCTTTTTTGCATTTATTAAAAGTGAATTTTGTAAAAGCATTTCATTGACACGCGACCTGTCACGGGCAATGGACTTTGTCAGTGGTGGTAAGACTGAGAACTCTATGCTTTTCACAGTTGTCATCTCTTGCTATGTATTTCTGCCTCGAGTCTTGCTGGTTTTTGTTTTGTTTTGTTTTTTTGGGCTAATTTCTCTGTGTACCTACCCACAACAGAGATAGAGCCACGCCAAGCCCCGCGGCCCGTGGCAGGCGGCATTGCTGAGCGCGCAAGGTCAGCAGCGGGCCATCTCTGCGTCCCAGCTGGGAAACTTGAACCAACGACGGTCCGCCACCGGACTCGGGGGTGGGGAGGCAAGTCACTGACGCCTTGGGTACACAGCTCCTCCCTTGGGAGAGCCCCCTGGCCACATGGCCTGGCCACTTGTTTTCAGCAGCTGCTACATGAAGCTGGCTCTCAGTGGACCTGTGGGCTGAAGCCACTTTTCTGCCAATCCTTATTAAGTGGCAACGTGTGGAAAACCTGCTAGGCCCGCGCATAAAGCTCTCCAGCACGGGTTTCCAATAAATCTCACTGGCCGGCATGTACAGATTTAGGGTCCGAGTGCCTCCCCGCCCGCGGGTTTGAGAAAGAACCCCGGACACCAACGCGGGCCTGCTTTGCTGTCTGTCCGAGGTGCGCTCGTGGTGGCCCTCCCCATCCGCTGCTGTCCTGGCCCGAAAGGGCACGTAGCCAGTGACAGCTGGGGCGGTCAGGCAGGAGGACTCGAGCACCTGAGTGGCTTCTCACTCGTGACCTGATTTTGCAGCTTTCTAGTAGTTAAGACTGCCACCCCACGCCCCACCCGAACACCCGCACGACAGAAAGTGAAGCTCTGTCGTCTTAAGGGGTAGTTTCATCTTCTGTTTAAATTCGCCTGTGTTATGCCTTGTGATAAAGAGCACTCTGCCATGGTTGTCAGCAGCTGTAGTCCAGAGATGGGGAAAAGGGAATGTGATCTTCACTTCATCTGATCATTGAATTGTCACCGCTGTAATCAGTAACCTTCTGTTGTGGGAATAAGTTCTAATCAGTAGTCATCTCTGTTCTAATTGTGTCATTTGTATCGCTTGAAACTATTTCTTCTATAAAATTAAACTAATCTGCCTTAAGAACAAAATGGAAATGTGTGATTCTTTTCAATAAAAATTTAATGACAGAGACAAATATATAAAAATGTATATCATTTTTTCAACATAAAAATAGAGGTACAAAAATCGTAAAATGGACGTGCATGCAGCTGCCCCCGCTTCAACACAGATTAGTCGTGGCTGATGTTGTTTTGTCTACACCTCCACCTGCCTCCCCCGTCCTTATCACATCTGAACCCTCACTGACTCGATGCCATTCGCTGTCCGCGGGTCACTTTTCCGGTCATCTCATAGGTCATTCTTTTTTAAACACAACGGAATCCCAAATATGGTCCATGTATTGGGATTTTAAAATCTTTATGTAGTTTTTAGACCCTCACCCATCTCTCCCACCCCATGCCTCCCGCCTCTGGCAACCACAGGTGTGGTGTTTTGAGTGACAGCTTTCCTGACATGGAATTCATCTATCATCCATTTCACCCTTTTAAAGCATACAATTCAGCAGTTTTTAGTATATTCAGAGCTGTGCAAATATCACTACGATCCATTTTAAAACTTTGTCACCATCCTCCCCCCAAAACCTTGTGCCCATGACCAGTCATGCCCAATTCTCCCCTCCCCCCGGCCCCCAGTGACTCCTCATCTGCTTTCTGCCTCTGGATTTGCGTGTTCAGGGCATTTCCTATCAATTGAATCCTGCAACATGTGGCCTTGTGTGTCTGGCCTCTTTCACTCAGCATCATGCTTTCCGGGTTCATCCATGTTGCAGCATGTCAGAACTTCATTCATTTTTATTGCTGAATAATATTGCATTGTATGGATGGGCCACATTTTGTTTATCCATCTACCAGATGGCTATTTTTAGCTATTAGGAATAATGCTGCTGTGATCGTTCGTGTTCAAGTTTTGGTGTGGACAGATGTTTTCCTTTCCCTTGAAGTCTCTAAAAGTGGAATTGCTGGGTCATATGATAACTCTATGTTGAGCTGTGTGAGGCACTGCCAGACTGTTTTCCAAAGCAGCTGCACCATTTTACGTTCCCATCAGCAGCGTATTGAGGGTTCCAGCATCTCCACATTTTGGCTAACACTTGTAACGCCATTTGATCGTAGCCATGCTAGTAGGTGCAAAATGGTGTCCTAGTGTAGTTGTATCTATTTTTAATCTACAGGATAAATGCCCCTCCCCCCACACCCCGTGTCACTTGTTGAAGAAAGGAGGGCGCATGTCGTCTTAGTCCCCCACATGCTGGACTTTGCTGATTATATATTCCTGCTCCTCTGAGCCTTACTCCCTATAAATAAATACTGAAAAAAAGCTGTTGAAATTGGAAGCTTGATCTGTTTTCCAGCTCATGTTTTCCCATTCTTTTAGGAGAAATGGGTGGTGAGACATTCATATATTCATGTGTCAGGTGGCTTATAAAGTCTCTTTTTGTAATGTTCGTGACATTGATCGATACCTTCATCCATGAATTCATTAAGGGTTGCAAAATGATGATAGTTCTAATTCTATCACTTTTTTCAAAACTTACTATTATTTACTTTGAAAAACATTTGTAAAGAGAAACTTCCTCATCTATTTGGTTACCCAGTGATAGTTTATAAGGGAGAAACAAGATAAATGCTTGATTCTGGTCTTTATTGACCTGTTTCAAAAACAATGGATTGTTTCCCTAGCATTGTACAGTCGTGACCAATTTGTTTCTGCTTTGGGGGATTTTTTTTAAAAGTATCATTAACACATGGATTTAAAGGTGTTTGGTGCTCTTCAATCCTTTGGAGTTGTTGTCCTTGACGGTGCTCAAATTCCCCTCCCTGTCTTTGGCTGGGGAACCTCTCCTGGTTGGCTCATGGCCTCTTAGGTTATGTACCCAGAACTCTCAGATGGCTTTCTTGCTACCCTGCATGAGCACATGATTCTGACCTGGAAATGATCACCCCTAGCGACACTTCGTTGTTTGGGGGCGGGGGCGGCGCTTATTGCCACTGAATTGGTCATTGTTTTTAGGCCTTGTCAGTAGGTAGACAATATTTTTTTTTCAAAGTAGGATTGAAAAAAAAAGATGACAGAGAATCTCATATAATTACTCCTTTGCTTTACCCCATATCACACAGATACGCAATTGTGTCAGAACCACAGTACCAACATAGTTACACATAGTTACTGAAAACTGACATTTCTCTTGCAGTTATTTTAGACCTTAAGGCATATCTCACTAGGAATATGTCATCAGATTTACTGTGTTTAAAGTAACTTGGAATATTTATTTTCTGTGTGGTTCAGCTATCAGACACATGTATGTCACTTTATTTTGGATTTTAAATCTTATAATTATGTAAAATATTGACATGGTTGCAAAGACAAACCTACCAAACAAAGTGTATCCAAGGGGCCAAGTGTCGATTCTTGCCCTGGGACCCTGTTCCTCCCTCTCCTTACCCTACATGAGCACTTAAGAAATTATGTTTTTCCTTGCATTATGTTTTAACATAAGCAGATATATAAGTATATAGGCACATATACAAGCATGTACACAAAGATGGACGCACATATACAGGTGAACATACATACATGAATATGTACACATCTGTGTATCTGCTCCCCTCCAATAAATAGTAGACACCAAATATACTTTTCTCCACCTGGCTTTTGTCGCTTACAGATATATCTCCAGAACCCACCAATATCTGTATTGGCCGCTGTGATAATTTACCACAAACTTAGTGGCTTAAAACAACAGAAGTTTATTCTCAACAGTCCTAAAGGCCGGAAGCCTGACATTAAGACATTGGCAGGGCCGGGCTCCCCCGAAGGCTCTGGGTGACGCTCCTTCCTGCCTCTTCTAGCCGTGGGGGCTGCCCCCCAACCCTGTCCTTAGAAATCCCTGGCTTGTGGGGTCATCACTCAACCGTTGCCCCTGTCTTCACGCCATCCTCTCCTCGTTGTCTCCCCCTTTTCCTCTTCTGGCTGTTAGGAAAACACGGGTCATTGGGTCCAGGGCCACCAGTTAATCCAAGATGATCCCATGTCCAGATCTTCAATGACCTCTGCAAAGACACTTTTCCATAAAAGGTCATGGTCACACATTCCAGATGGACATCATTTTGGATGCTCATCATCCAACCCACTACCATCTGCCCGATGGCTCCCCCAAATCCACGCCTATCCCTCGGGAAAATTCCATTGCCCCGCTCCTACAACCCCAGCGCAGCACGTACAGTCTCCATTTCTCTGCGCCTTTGCACTCTGTGCTAGTGGAGGCGACAATTTATTCCATCCTCTCTCCGCCATCTCCCGGTGTCTCTGGTTTTCTGCTCTTAAAAAGAATTCAGCAATGCAAAGCCTGTGCAGATATCTCTTCATACTTTCACCAGGGTTTCTGGGGGATCCCTTGTCGTGCGTTCCCATGGCCAAAGGGGAAATGTATGTGGCATTCAGCCAGGTACTGTCACCTTCCCCTCCTAGGGATAGACCACTTTGCAGTGTCACCAGCAATGCATGCGACAGTTTCCCCACAATGTCACCGGTAGAATGTTGTCACCCTAGTGAGGCTTTGCCATGTGCAGAGGTGAGCAATGAGATCTCAGTGCGCTTTTCTTTGAGCGACGCTGCTTTAATGAGAAATGTTTACCCGCACATTTTAACACCTGTTAAGGCTGGTCCTCCTTCCTTTCTTTTTTGGGGTTTTCTTGGTGATTCTTGCTTATTTGTTCCTTGAGAGGGATTTCATAATCAACTTGTCTAGCTTCAGAGGTAGGGAATGATGACATTGTTACCAAAAATTGCAATAAATGTAAAAATTAGGGAGAACTAGCATCCTATGATGTTGAATCCTTTTACCCGAGAATGCATTTCCATTTGTTCAAGACTCATTTTGTATGCGTCAGGAATGCTTTACAGTTTTACTCATATATTTTGGATATTTCTTAACAGGTTTTTGCCTCTCTTATTTTCTGTTTTTATCGACATAACGATGTGTTTCTAACATGAGTGCATGTTGGATTTTTTCAAATTCCTTTTCTCTATCAGATGCTCATAGGATCTTCGTCCTTAACTCTAAAAACATGATTGATTATATCAATGGATTTTGTAACGGAGAACCATCCTTGCTTTTGTAAAATAAACTCCTTTGGTCATGATACACAGATACGAATGTGCTTTGGAGTTGGTTTGCTAGTGATTTGTTTATGATTTTTGCATTGATACGCTGTAATTATTTTCAGTGCACTATCGGCCAGAGTGAGGATCAACGTTATACCGCACTAAGCCAACGTGCCCATTTTTCTTCTTTTTCTTGGCTCAGACAGGAGAAGTTTGGGAGAGTTCTGCTGTGAAAACATCTGGGTGTGCTCCGTGCTTTTCTCACGGGGGGCTTCTTAAACCATTCTCTCTCTTTCCTCTATGGAAATTGAGCTTTTTAGACTTGTCTCTTGAGGCCAATTTTGATAAGTTCTATTTTTCTTAAAAATGACTTATTTCATCTATGTTTCCCAGTTTGTTTGTAGAGAGCTGAACAGAGGAATGTTTTGTAATTTCCTTCATTCTGATGGGTCTTTTCCCCTTGTCATTTCCAGCTTTTCGTACTTGTGTTTTCTCCTTTGTTTTGCCTTGATTAGGCTAGTTATTGGGTTATTTTTAAAGCTTTTCCTTTTGAAAGAGAACCAGCTTTTGGTTTTGTTAGTTCTCCTATTGCTTGTTTTATAACTCATGAAATACTGTTTTATTTTTATTAATTCTTCTTTTCCTGTTTTTTTGTGTGTGTCTTAGTTGTCTTTTTATAGCTGTTTGAGTTGGGTGTGTTTATTTTTACTTTAAACCAATTTAGTGCTGTAAACCAGTGGTCCCCAACGTTTTTGGCACCAGGGTTGGTTTCGTGGAAGACAATTTTTCCATGGGCCGAGGAGTGGGGAGATAGGGGGCGGAGCTCAGGCAGCCCACGGACTGGGAGGAGGGTGGTTAGGGACTAACCCGCTATAAACTTTTGTCTGTCAACTAATATGTCGAGTTT